TCCGCAGCTTGCTGCCTGGAACAAGGACCAAGCTCATTCTCCCCTTGAAAGATATTGAAAACGTGGACAAGGAGAAGGGATTCCGTTTTGGATACTCCGGTTTGGTGGTTGTCATTCGCGGCCACGAGGAGGTCTTTTTCGAGTTTGGCCAGGCCGAGCTCAGAGACGATTGCGCCGTTACTTTGCTTCAGAGCCTGGAGACGACACGCTACCTCAAGGAGTCGGGAGACCTAGACCTGGACGAGAAGGAAGAAGAGGAGAACGCCATGGCCGAGCGCGACGCGCTGAAGGAAGCGCGTCAACTCGAGGAATTCCACGATCACGAACTTCGCCTGCCAAAGGAAGGCTCAGGCGTTAACGATGCTCCGACGATATTGTTCGACGACCCGAAAGCCTCATTCCTCAACTTCAAGCCTCCTCACTCGATGAAGATCACCTGCTTGACGATAGGCTCCAGAGGTGATGTCCAGCCATACATTGCCCTGTGCAAGGGCTTGATCGCAGAAGGCCATAAGCCTCGGATCGCTACTCACGCCGAGTTCAAGGACTGGATCGAGGGCCACGGCATCGAATTCGCAAAAGTCGACGGTGATCCGGGTGAACTCATGAGACTCTGCATCGAGAACGGTACATTCACGTGGGCTTTCCTGCGAGAGGCCAACTCCATGTTCCGTGGTTGGCTGGATGAGCTACTGGTCTCGGCGTGGGAGGCTTGCCAGGGCTCTGATCTGCTCATTGAGAGTCCCAGTGCCATGGCAGGCATTCACATTGCCGAGAAGCTCTCCATTCCCTACTTTAGAGCCTTCACCATGCCGTGGACCCGGACCAGAGCCTACCCTCATGCATTCGTTATGCCTGAGTACAAGATGGGTGGTGCATACAACTATATGACATACGTCATGTTTGACAACATTTTCTGGAAGGCGACTGCTCATCAGGTCAACCGCTGGCGCAACAACACGCTCAAGCTGCCCAACACCAGTCTTGAGAAGATGCAACCCAACAAGGTCCCGTTCCTCTACAACTTCTCCGAGTACGTGGTCGCACCGCCTCTGGACTTTTCAGACTGGATTCGCGTCACAGGGTACTGGTTCTTGGAGGAAGGTACGGATTTCAAGCCGCCTCAGGAACTTGTCGACTTTATCGCCAAGGCGAGGGCGGACGAGAAGAAGCTTGTATACGTCGGCTTCGGATCCATTATTGTGAACGACACAGCCAAGATGACCCAAGAAGTCATTGACGCCGTTCAAAAGGCCGATGTGCGCTGCATCTTGTCCAAGGGCTGGTCGGATCGCGTGGCCAAGCCGGGCGACGCAGAGAGCGCAAAGGATGAGCCGGTCATCCCGCCCGAGATTTTCGTCATCAAGAGTGCGCCCCACGACTGGCTGTTTTCGCAGATTGATGCGGCCGCTCACCACGGTGGATCCGGCACGACGGGCGCCAGCTTGAGGGCTGGTATTCCTACCATCATCCGACCCTTCTTTGGTGACCAGTTCTTCTTTGGCGGCAGAGTCGAGGACATTGGCGTCGGTATCTGCCTGAAGAAATGGGGTGCAGTCTCCTTCGCCCGCGCGCTTTGGGAAGCTACGCATAACGACCGTATGATTGTCAAGGCTCGCGTGCTGGGTGAGCAGATTCGCAGTGTAAGTCACAATTCCGACCCAATTTAAGATTCAATGGTCAACTAATACGATAACAGGAACGTGGCGTGGACAACGCGATTCAGTGCCTGTACCGCGACATGGAGTACGCGACGAGCTTGATCAAGAAAAAGGCAGGCAAGCACGCGCATGCCGAAGAAGACGAAGACGAGGAGGCCGAGGAGAGCTGGACGTTTATAGGGAACGACGAGCCCGACCCGGATGTGACGACCAAGAAGCTCTCCGAGATGGGGGCACTACCCGGGCTTCCGGGGGACAAGCCTCTCGGGAACAGGGTGATGCGCGTCTCGCCCTCGCCCTCACAGCAACCGGAGGCCTAGGGGGTTGACCAGGAGCTTCTCAGTGAGGCGCTAGGGGACAGCATCTTGCGCGACACGACTCCGAGGCCAACATTTGAGGTGGACGGGGTGGGATCGGATTGGGAATGCGTCGGGGATTCTAGGACGTCACCAAGGTATTGAAATGGACGAACATTGGCTGGCACGGCGTTTCACGGACTTGCTAGAGGATTCTGGGAAAGAGTTGCATTTTTTCTGGTTCGGAGTCTGGGGTGGGAGACGGGGGAACTGAATGACTGACTGATTTACGGGGTTGTGGCGTGATCAGAACGAACGGCACTGGGGACACAGGACAATGTGGCCACCCATACTCATGGATAGAGAGTACATTAATACTCGATTATGACTTTTTTTTTCTTGGTAACGAAGTAGTCTAGTCTGGAAACGCAGACAAGTAAGAGCGATATTTGATGATGCTGCCTCAATAAAAGCTTTCAAGTAGAGTCCCCAACGGCTTTGATGTGTTTAGTGCTGTTTGATGCTTCCAGATGGAGGGTCATGTATAAAGATGCACGTCAATCAAGGTAGAGAGAGAGAGAGAGATAGAGAGAGAGATATGACCAGGTAAAGTCTGGGGGAAGCTCTCTCTCCGCGCTACTTTATTTTGAGCTGCATCTCGATTTACATGGATCATCACGCTATTGGAGCATCTCACCACAAGACAAGACGAGACGGGGGTGGCAGCATCAAGGCAATGCCGGCAGAGATGAGGGAGCTGAAAGCAGCAGCTGCTAGATGGGGCCAAGTGAAGGGGGATTTTTTGTTGACAAGCTGGGAGAGTGAGGTGGAAAGAATCAGGAGACAAGAGAGGTTGAGGTTAGGTGGTGGGAGGCTGCGTTGCTGCTCATGTGAGGTGCCGAGTTCACGCCACTTTTGGGAGGGAGTCAGAGATGCAGGTGGTCACTGGTGTTTGCTGACCGCGGCATCTTTGCTTCTCCCGTCTTCCGCCTACATGGGAATTTGCAGTGGAGCTTATGGGCGCGTGACTGAGAGTGGGAATAGCTGAGGTAATGTCAAGTCTTTTAGAAGGGTGAATTCAATGAGGCTTTGTGAATTGTTCGTTTGCGCTCTTTTCATCAGGTTCACAGGTTGGAGCTATCCTCAGTAAGGTCTTCACGTGACTCATTGTTGGTTGTACTTGTTTGAAGAGGCTCCCTGTTGTAACCCAGTGATGAGAGCAAAAGGTGTGACTGGCTGGAAGAGGTGGGATGATGGATCTGGGTGCTCACAGCTGGGATGAGAGAGTCCTCATGCACTGGCACTGCACGAGAGGCTGACAGACTGGAGAGCAAGAGAGGGGAGTACCTCAAGTGAGTGACAAAGTGAGAGAGGAGTGAGGTGAGTGAGTGAGGGACGAGTTGGGGAATGAACAAGGGGGTGATTCGTGAGGCTCTCATGCAGAGGTCGCCAGGCAGCCACCACTTGAAGCCGGCTGGCACCCTCAGCGGAGAGCATGGCTGCATCATAGAGAAGCAGGCTGGGGTGCTACAGCAGGTACAAATAGGCCATCGCATCCCACTCTTTCAGAAGGGGGTGGCTCGGGTGATAGTGGTTGACGGACACCAAAAAGGCTGCCTTTTCCCCCCTCTGCCAGCGACCAGCAGTGACGCTACCAGCTTTTACCTTGTACCTCGACAGCTCAGGCCTTGTACCTTTTTCTCTCCTCCTTCTGTCCAGCATCGCAGCACTCCGTACTCCAGACATCACACCACAGCTCTGTCAGATACCCATCTCACAACCAGCTTGCCTTGAAGGTGATACAGCAAGAGATAATCCTGAATTACCCGCATTCGAGTACGATTTCATCACAGACACAAACGTAAAATCCAGATCAACTTGCAGCTGCTGTACCTCAACGTTCCATCACCAAACATTCGAGGCCTTGGCAAAGCAACGGACTGCCGAAGACACCGAGGTACTTGATCCTGCCAGAACAGGTACACACACCAACACAACACCAACTCTGCCCCACTCAACGGGACACTCCTTCGCCGCGCCCCACTCATCCCGCCGCCTAAAAAGCTACACTCGGAAAAGCATTCCTGCGAAACCCTGACCGACCCGGACCCGCTCCAGCTCCCCAAGTGGTCAGTGCTCACCGACAGCTGACCCCACCCCACCCCGTCTCGCGGCTTCGCCTGGGCTTCCCGGTTGGTTCCCCTTTTACCGCGCTTCACCTTGCCTTCACCTTGCCCTGCTTGCGGTGCACGTCACGGTTCGGTCCAGACCTACACAGTAAGGTGCCCGCCTCCACTCGAAATCCCCGAGCTCCAAAACCTCCACACCCCCCCCCCCCCCCGGACCCCAAGCGAGTAAGAGCATCAGCAACTTCCATTGCGATTAGCATCGAGACCAGCTCCGACTTCATCCCACCACGCTACAGATAGCACGCGTCAAGCAAACGAACATCTCGCGCGAAAGGATCAAGCATTCCGTCCAATTGCATCACGTCACCAAAAACTCAATTGCGCCTAGGACCCCCGAGGAATAATCAGCTAGTAGTCAAGGCTAAGAAGAATACGGCCTTCCCACGCGTTTCTTCCTCCTGTTGCCGCCTCCTCCAGCAACCAACAACCAACCAACCACGACGACAGCTTTGCATAGCTATTTATCCATCTTACACCTCTCCGTCCATCTCATCCCAACGCAACGCTCCAGAGCTTCCCCGTCTGTTGCGTATTCGTCAAACACCCCCCTCATCAGCTTCGGGGCAATGGGATTGGCCACTACACTGGCACCTTCTCCGATTGTTACTGGGGGAGTCTCATTAGGTTCGTCGCACCTCCTCCCTCGACTTTCGAGACGTCATTGAAGCACCCGACCTCTCCGCGGCCGCCTACCGCGCGCTGTGTCACGTCTTCTTCCAACCCTTGCCTGCATCTTCCACTTTGCCATCCATTTGCGCACACGCGCGTGTTTCAAAGCCCACTTTGCTGACCTTGGACCTTTTCCCATCGCGACAGACTTTTAGACCAAACCCTCCCAGTAGTCTGCCGTCATCATGGGCAAGCTACTTTCACTAGGAGCGCGACTGCGCTACCCGATTACCATTACAAAACTCCTCAAGCGCCCCGGCGACACTGTTCAAAAACAGGAGAGCGTGCTGGAATACTCTTTCAAATGGATGCGCGAGGTCGGCGACCCCATCGCCGGCAACACTTGGCAAGAGGAGGAAACCACAGTCGTCGGCTGGGATAGTCCGGCCGAAGGCACACTCAAGGAATGGCGTCTCAAGGAAGGCATGACATTCACGCGCGACGCGCCGTGTATGATGGTCGAGGAGGCCTGCTCTCACGAGATCCAGTTCCAAGGCTTGTGCGCAATCTGCGGCAAGGATATGACCGAGGTGAACTGGGCCACTGCCGAACGCGATACTCAGCGCGCCACCATCAACATGACACACGACCAGACCGGCCTCATGGTCAGTGGCGACCTGGCTGCGCGTGCCGAGTCCGATACCCAGAAGCGTCTGCTACGACAACGGAAGCTGAGTCTCGTTGTTGATCTCGACCAGACCATCATCCACGCCTGTATCGAGCCGACTGTTGGCGAGTGGATGGAGGACCCGTCAAATCCCAATTACCACGCTGTCAAGGATGTCAAGAAATTCCAGCTTAACGATGAAGGCCCCCGGGGGATGGTCACATCTGGCTGCTGGTACTACATCAAGATGCGGCCCGGTCTTGCCGAGTTCCTCGAGAAGGTTGCTGAGCTTTACGAGTTGCACGTTTACACAATGGGAACGCGCGCATACGCTCTCAACATTGCCAAGATTGTCGACCCTCAGCAGAAACTCTTTGGCAACCGCGTCATCAGCCGTGACGAGAACGGAAGCATGATCTCAAAGAGTCTGCAGCGGTTATTCCCGGTGAACACGAATATGGTGGTTATTATCGACGACAGAGCAGATGTGTGGCCAAGCAATCGCCCCAATTTGATCAAGGTTGTGCCATACGATTTCTTCAAGGGCATCGGCGACATCAACTCGAGTTTCCTCCCGAAGAGACAGGACATCCTGCCCGCGCCACCCGCACCCGAAGCGAAGCCAACACCGGCAGCCCCAACAAGCGAAGCCCCAACAAGCGAAGCGCCAACGAGCGAGGCGTCAACAGCCGACCAACCAAATGGCAAGGTGTCTGCCATTGACGAGCTGGTAAAGATGAGCAGCGGCGACGACAAGGTCCTGCAGGAAACACAAAGCGGAGAGCAAGAAAAGTTGTTGGAGCAGCAGATCAAGGAAAGGCCGCTTCTCCACATGCAAGAGGCACTCGACAAAGAAGATGAAGAAAACGAAAAGGTCACACAGGAGGCCGAGAATGGCGCACATATCATGACAGTGCAACATCGATCGCAAGTCCTCCGCGACGACGATGCTGAGCTGCATTACTTACAACAACACCTCACTCAACTACACCACAAATTCTATACCGAATACGACGAGAAGCGCGCTGCTGCCCCTACACAGTTAGCCCCGCGGAAGAAAGCGGGCGACGACGGTATCGACCTCGACGCCGTTCCAGACGTCGGCGAAGTCCTCGATACGATGAAGGCCGCGACTCTCGAAGGCACTACAATTGTCCTGTCTGGCCTCGTTCCCCTCGGCGTCGACGTGCTGCAGTCCGAGATTGGCATCCAAGCCATGAGCTTCGGTGCGCAGATTTCGACGAGGGTGTCTAAGCAGGTCACTCATCTCGTTATTTCGACGTCTCGCCCGCGTACCCAGAAGGTCAGGCAGGCAGCCAAGATTCCGAGTATCAAGATTGTTAGCCAAAATTGGCTGTCTGATTCCCTCAGCCAGTGGCAGCGTGTCGACGAAGCACCCTACCTGGTCGAGGTTCACCCGGCAGATCGGCGTCAGCTAGCCTTGTCCGAGTCTACGGAGGCAGACACAATTTCTGATGCCGATGGCGATGACTCACGGCCGCACCTGACCATCATTGATGAAACGGGCGAGCAACGTGTACTCGAGGAAGACGATGATGCCTCGGACGAAGACGAAGGCGACCAGGACGGGGATGAAGAGAATATGATGCTTGAGTTTGAGGACGGTCAAGTCAGTCCGATAGACGGCTTGAAGTCGTTCGACTGGGAAGGCGTCGACGACGAGATGAAGGAGTTCCTCGGGAGCGACGACGACAGCTCAGATGCCGACACGGAAAGCCGTAGTGGCGATACCGATGCCGGCGAAGACTTGCCATCATCCCAAGACTCCTCAAATTCGGTCACTGGCGGCACCAAGAGGAAAGCCATGGACGACGACACGGCCTCCGACGAAGGTGGAAGTGCATTGTCCAAGAAGCAACGCATTGCCAAGAGCCGCGGTGCTTCTAAGCTGAGCTCAGTACGGACTCCCAACGTCGAGGATAACAACGAATCGAGCAGCCTGCCTACCCCACAAGTTACGGGCGACGAGGAGGATGTCGCGCTCATACCGGACGGCGCCGCTGCGAACGGAGTCGACGACTTTGACGAGGATGATCTCGAGGCAGACCTCGAGGCCGAGCTCGCGGCCGCCGGAGAGGACTAGTGACCCTAACCACTGCAGCGAGAGGCATGATGCATATAAAAAGAAGCTAGGAAGGGGAGGCCGCAAAAAGTGAGGAAGAACGTGGGAAAGAACGTGACGAAGAAAAAGTTGGTTGGCTATGGTTTATTCGGTTTATACCCCAGCCTTTCCGTTGGCGAAGCATGGCATGGAGTTGAGATGTGCAAATATGTGTAGGATTCAAGTGCAGTACGCTGGGGTGGTGAATAGACAATACGGTGTTGGGTCGGTGCATATCTAGCCACTTGATATTTATGACCTATTCGATGCATCAACTCCAACAACATTTCCATGGCTAAAGCTCAGTGACATTGTGAGCCCTTGGGTGCCTCGGTGCTCACCGAGTGGGTATCTCGGTGAAGGTGAGAAAATGGGTCCGCAATGTGCCTTACATAATCGGTCGGCCAATTGAGCGAATCACCATCGACCCGAAAACAATCACCTCAGGCACCCCAGGCCAAAGCTTGTCCCGGAATTTCGAGCTCGACGACCACCATATCGCATCGCAACCCACACACCCCCCGTCGAACCGACGCCGATACCCCCGATCTCTCGAACCAAACGATTGTTTGTTCGATACGCAATTCAATTGACTCCCCGACGAACGGAGGGGCAATTGATCGACACAAGTCACTCGACGAAACTATACACACCTTCTAGACGAGCGCAGCCGACCGCGTTGGGTCGGTAGGAAACGATTGAGACAGGATGCCTCAGGATATGCCGCCCGTGGGAGGTTACCAGGCTGTGCAGTACAAGGTGAGTTCTGGCAAGCGGTGGAGGGGTTGAGGGAGTGAGGAGGATGAGGGAGTCGCAAGAGGAGGACTGGAGAAGGGATTACCGGATCGAGCGGGGAGTGGCAGCAGCAACATGGCAAGAGGAGGCACTTGGGACACGGAATGGTTGAGCTGGGCGCTTTCGACAGTCGAATTGGCTCCCGACCGAGGATACCGAACTGGAACGACGAGAGGTTGCCAGGGAAGGGATATTCTGGACTCAGGATCACGAACATGGAAACGACGAAGAGACGAGGAGGAGCCGCGACACTTTGAAGGAATCATGCTGATAATTGGAAACAGCGCAACCTGCCCGCCCGTGGATTCCGCCCCGGCACAATGTTGCTCGGTATGGGACTGGTGATGGGATACGGATGGTACCACTTGACCAAGGGTATCCGGGAATCCAAGTACGTTGCGACCCATTTACACCCAACACCTCGATTGCGATACTCCCCTATCTGGGTACTGGACGGAGTTGCAGGTGATCTGGTGGACGAGATGCCATACTACTTACTCTACGAGGGCCAGTGAGGCAACTCGACTACAGGAAGCACGCAACGACGAACAAATATCAGAGGGAGGCGTAGAGCAGTCTTATGGGTGGTAGAGTCGCTGGGAGAAAGATGCTGACGAGTCACAGCGAGCTGGCGAGAGAGAAGATGTGGGCGCGAATTCACATTATTCCCCTCCTTCAGGCCGAGGAGGACCGCGACCAGGTCCGCAGGTGGTACGCCGACCAGGCGAGAGAAAAGGAGCTGTTGGGCGAGAACACCAAGGTCTACCACAACGAGAGGTATGTTGATATGTTCCTTCGGTGGAGAAGGGGAGCAACGGGGAGTGAGAAGAAGAGAGCTAACTTGTGATATACAGATTCGTTCGTCCTACCTTTGCTCTTGCGCCGCAGAGCAAGAACTAGATTTTCCATACTTGTATCTGGCGGAAGGGAGAAGGGGTTAGAGGGAAAGATGGGTTGGGGCAAAAGAAGCTGACAGAATGCTGGCGTATGTATATGATACTTTTCGAGAGGGAGAGAATCAAGACGACCTGTTCCATCATCATGCTTACGGTTGCGCCGTTCTCTGGCTTTTGGTAAAGGACGAAGTGTAAAAACGTGGCCCATGGCAGGCTATGTTGCCCACTGTGCTTCAAGCCGTGGGCGAGGTTAAGATTGCAGTGCTGTATGCAAGAACAACAGCCCTACATCACAGCTTGATATTTGCTGTGTGATTGGAGGTCAGAGTCCGCACATTTCCACATGTGCGCCGCTGCAGAGCTAAGCGTCAGTCTCATATCATTCTCCCAAGCCTTTGAATCTTTTCCCACCCATCTGTGCGGCTCTCCAGTTCTTTCGCGGTAACAGTGGGGCGAATGGTGCTTGATTGGACATGGCCTCGACCAGAGGGCGTGTTTTCTATGCCTGAAAGTGAGGCTATCGACATGTTTCTGCACTTGTCAGGAGTGTCGCACGTAGTGGTTGCCTCACGTTAGGCAGAGCGGAAACCTGACCAGTTCAAGAAAGCCGCCATCTCACGCAATGGATTGGCGTTGGGTTCTCGACGGGAAGAATTTTGTGCGAATATTTCCCTGTCGATGAAAAGGATACCTAGTCAAGCCTTCTCAGACTCCAGTTTTCATAATCACGTACACATGCGAAGCGTGTAAGTCAATCAAGGCCCTCCGATCCGCAATCAACACAAACCTCTGGAACCCGGACCTAAACGCCTACATCCTCTCCGAGACCATACAAACAGGCTTCGCACAAGACGCAAACGCCCTCGCCATCCTTGCCGGCGTCCCCGCCTCACCCAACACCACATCCTCGATCCTCTCAACCCTCTCAAGAGACCTCCTCCTCCCCTCCGGCCCTCTAGCCTTCTCAAAATCCACAGTTCTCGCGGGCTTCGCGCAGAAAATCAGTCCCTACGCATCATCATACCACCTCCGCGCAGCACTCTCCGCCGGTGACGCATCCACAGCACTAAGCCTCCTCAAACCCCTCTGGGCGCCCATGGCCAACCCAACCCACGAGAATTACACAGACTGCTTCTGGGAAGCACTAAACCCAGACGGAACCCCCTGTCTAGGCATAGTGACGTCCCTCTGTCACGGGTGGGCCGCAGGCCCGACGGCGGAGTTGAGTCGTTACGTCCTGGGCATCCAGCCTGTTGCGCCCGGATTCGCGGAGTGGAAGGTTGAGCCGCTGACGTTGGGGTTGGAGTGGGCTAAGGGACGGTATCCGACTGTGCTTGGGGATGTTGCTGTGGATTGGCGGTTTGAAGGTGGGATGTTGAGGATGGAGACTGAGAGTCCTGCTGGGAGTAAGGGGAAGGTTTACTTGCCGGAACCGATGGTGACGAGTCTTGAGAAGTCTGTTATTCGGGTGAATGGAGTTGTGAAGAATGGAACTCAGTTTGAGGTTGATGGAGGGGAAGCGTTTGTACTAACGCAGGAACCTCTTGGCGCAGGATTATTGGCTTGAAATATTAGTCAAGCGTGAATATACATTTAGATCGAGCGCCGGCGTAAAGACACGTCGGCACGAGAACCACATATAGTCACCATCAAGTCATTCTTCACAGGCAATTAAAACGAATAAGAAATCGATTCATCGGCATCATTAAGTCTCATCATCCATGCGGTGGTATACCCAAAGTCAGACAGCCAACCGACGACCAGAAGCAGCAAAACCATCAACGCCGACCCATGACCTTAGTACTACACGGCCACAAGGCCAGCTTGCACCATCTCGTCCACATCCCGTTATGCCTGAAGCTGAATAACCCTGAAGCCCTCGGAGACAGTCTTGGTAATGTCCTCGTTCTTGTGCTGCAACAACCCAAGAGCAAAGGCGACGTCGTTCCATTGGCGCTCGGTCTCGCAGCGGGTAAGTCTGGCGGCAAGCTTCTCGGCCAGCTGCTTCGCGTGCTTGTCCTTCTCGACGAAACCCAGGAGGAATCGAATAATTCTCCGGAAGCTCTCCTCCTCCAGGCCCTTCTCGGCAGACAGCAGGGAGAACATATCGACAAAGTGGTTGTAAACGGCGTTGTCCTTGGTGCTGAGTTCCGTGAAGAACATTCTCGCCAAATCAGCAATGCGACGGTCTTCATCCTCTAGGCACTTGGCCATCTCGCCCAGCTGACCCTTAACCTTGACTTGACCGGCCAGAATGAGGAATGTGAGCGTCATCAAGCATGTGCGCTTGACAGACTGGTCCTTGTCCGCCAGGCGACGGTACAGGAAGTCGGTGTTCTCGTCGATGAGGTGGTTGAAGCACACAGCCATGTCGCCGAGAGCGATGACGGCGTTGGAACGGACTGTCGCATCGGCCGAACGCTCCATGATGGTGATAAGGAGGGGGAGGTTGGCCTCGCAGTACTCCGAGCTCACACACATAAGCTTGGCGAGACAGAGGGTTGCGGCGGCCTGCAGTCCCTTGTCGGCATATGTGGTGTTGTTGGCGCAGACTTCAGACACCAGAGGCCCAAACTGTGCTAACAGAGACTCGGGGCCAAACAGAAGCTCACGCTCACGAATATGCGCCATGGCTTCGGTGAAGTCATCCTCAGTCGTGCCACCAATCAAGTCCAGGTCATCGGGCTCGTCCTTCTTGCCCGCCTGGCCGGTGGACTTGTCTGCGGTCTTCTCCTTCTCCTGCTCCTGCTTACGGCGCTTGAAATCGAGCTCGCAGAGTTCAAGGTGCACAATCTGCTTGATGGCAACATGGCCAACGATAAAGAGAAGCTGAGACAGGCCGACAGCGGCATCCCGCTTCTTTGGCTGCGGTGCCGGAGCAACAACAGTCTCGTTTCCATCTTCGTCAACGGAAACAGAGTCAGCATCGTCTCGCGAGACTGGTCGTGAGCTCGGCTGCGAGCTAGTCTGCGAGGCTGAACGCGATCGGGGAGCAGCAAAAACTTGCTTCGTCTTGTGACGAATAATGTCGGAGCAAAGCGTGTCGGGGTGCTTGGAGATGGCGTAAATCGCGTTGATTGCCTGCTCTGCAACACCATACCACTCTTTGCTCTCGGACGGGACTTCGGTGATGGAAGCCAACTTGGACAAAACGGCGTGGTCATTCGGGAGTCTAGAGAACTTGACGGCAGACTCCTTTGCTTGGCGACCAGTCGGGTTGATGCGGCGAAGGGCAATGCAAGTGTACTTGGCCAGCTGAAGATCAGCGCGGCCATGGGAACCCAAACCAGTGCGCAACATTGTCTCCATCTCTCCAACAACAATCTCGGGGTTGGCAGTCGCCAGCATACCGAGCACAATGATGGCGCCGCGGCGTTGTGTCCTGGAAATCTCGCGCTTCTGCACGCCGTAGACCTGCCAAAGCTTGGCAATAACGATTTCAGGGACCAAGCCTTGCTTCATCATGGTGCTGAGAAGTTGCTCCAATGATGTCAGCTCGGCGGGAGTTGCGCCAAAGGTCAAACTGATCATGTTGCGGGCGATGAAGTTGGCTGCATCGTTGGAAGTGAAGGAGTCGGGCGCCTCGAAGAACAGACGCTTGTAGACATCGATAAGATGGCCCTGAACGCCCTTGCCCTCATCACTGTTGCCCTTGGTCCAAATGAGACGCAACATGCGTCGGATGCCGACCTTGTTCTGCTCAATGTTGTAGGCGTCGCCAACTTCGAAGTAATCCATGGCCTCGATGACCTCGCTCTTGTTGCGTGATCCCAGCAGCTGGCAAACGGTGCCAGTAGCCTCGTGAAGGACGTCGATGAACTTCAAAGCCTCAGAGTAGTATCGCTTGGTGAGAGTAAGCTTCTCGATGGCCTCGGATGTGGCGGCCTCCTCGCGGGCCTTGCGGACCGCCTCGAACTTTTGCTCGTCGGACATGGGTGCGGGCTTCTGGGGCGACTGCTCAATCTGCGTCGCATCGTCGAGAAGCTGCTGATCAACAGTGGTGTCAGCTCCTTCGCCGAGGCCTGGCGCGCCTTCGGGCGGCTTGAGCGCATTCAGCTCCTCGTCCACCTTGTCAAGACGTGCCTGCCATTCCTTGCGGGACAGCTGAGCGCCGTGCATGACTGTGAAGGGATGTGTCTTGATAAGAGCCCCCAGAAGCTTGATGGCATTCCTCCTGACGTGACTGCTCTTGTCCTCGAGGCTGCGGCAGGCCATTTCCGCAGCGCGTTGTCGTCGTTTGGGGAACTTCTGTTCGAGATCGCACAACTTGACGTAGACTTGGATGGCTCTGCATCTGCAGTAAGGGTTGATATCGAGGAATCGCTCTTCCAAGACGTCGAAGAAGGCATTGAGCTGAGACTTGTGGTTTTCGCCGCGCTCGTCCTGCTTGACTAAGTGGGCAACCATATTTCCGCAGACCTCGATGAGAGAGCAACGCAGTGTGTAAGACTTTGAAACTCGTTAGCAATGCTTTACTAATACGCGACGGTGGAGCATTACCTCGCTGTCTAGTTGTTTTGCGAGCATGGTCATTTGCTTGATGACCAGTCTTGGGGCCAGCTCGGAGAGCTTGACGATGAACTGAGAGACGGACTTGGGGCCCTTGGTGTCGTTGGAGTTGAACTCCTTGTTACTGAGTTCGCGAAGGACCTCATCGGCAAGCTGAGGGTAGTCGTAGGTCTCGGCGAGGATGTGGAGGAACTCGGCCATGGGCTCGGAAAGGTGCTCGAAGTATGTGAGGTTTTGGACGATGGAGATCTGGGCCGCTGCCGAGAGTTAGTTTGGATGCGCAAGAATGCGCCGCACAAGACGACGTACCGTATGCGTGGCCGTGGTGCTTGACAGCGATGCAGAGGACCTTGAAAGCGTGCATGCGGATTGACGTGCTCTTGACGCGCTGTTCACTCTCGAGGACCATGTAAACGGGACGAGTCAATAGGCCGATGAAGGTGTCTCTTTCGGAGGTGGTCAGGAAGATCTTGGTTAGCTTGAGCTTGAGGACTTTGCTCATGATGTCGAGAGCAGACTGCAGCTGGGTTGCCGAGTCCCATACACCGTCCTTGTCTCTGGGCGCATTCTTCTTTGGCTTGCCGCGACCTCTTGCGACTGGTGCTGTTGAGGACTTTTCGGCGGCCTTGGTCTCGACAGCAGCGATGGTCCATTGGAGAAGGAAGCCGTAGATCTCGAGGAGCTGCTTGTGGTGGGCGAGTGTCTCTTGTTCGTCGGGAGATTCGAGGTCGTGGTTTATCGCATCGCCCTCGGCGGCCAGACCTGACATGATCAAGTCGAAGATCTTGCTAAGAACCTGTGGCGGGAGGAAGGCGGTGTACCTAGAGGAGTTGAATAGCTCAGAATGGCGTTCATTAGGGGACGTGGAAGCAGAAGACGACGGAAAGGAGGACAACAAAAGAGAGGGGTCTGAAGGATGAGGGGAGATGGGTGCGCACTTGAGGAGGAACTGTAGTGAGTCGAGATGGGCACTGCGTGTGATGGCCTCGGGGTTCTCGGCGACAGCGTCAACGATGGGGTTGAGAACCGGATTGATGACGGCGGCGGTGAGGCCTTCGGGGTCATTTTCGTAGTCGAAGAGGGAGCCATCAGCTTCCGGGGTGGGAATACTGGCGGGATCGCTCATGTAATGCTTGAGCGCATCGTTGATGTCGAATGCGACCGAGTCCATGGCTGCGGTCTGGTCGAGGTGTGCGCACCCAGCGACGGAACGCGATCAAGAGGCGGGGGGGGCGGGGGGGGGGGAAGAGGGGAAGAAGAAGAGGATGGGAATCTAAAGGATGAAATAGAACGAGAGAGAGAGAGAGAGAGACAGAGAGAGGAGGGGTCAGTCAATGTCTGTGACCAGCCGTGGTGTTCTCGTATGGCCTGGTGCGTGGTGTTGCAAGTAGCTGGTGGGTTAGTAATGCACAGGGCCAGAAAAGGAAGCAAAAGAAGGCGAAGGAAGCGCAAAACGGCCTGTGGTGTTGTGTTGACGATGTGTGTGTTAATTGTGGTTAATTACTTTCAGATGGGAGGGTGGAGGGACAAGATGCGCCTAGCAACCAAGTGGGAATTTGTTTATTGTTTTCTTTTGGAGTCCGACGCGACCGGGCAGTGTCTGGCAGTTCTGCCACCTCTCGAGGGAAAGTCACTTTTTTCTGAGGTGCGGGGTCTAGTTAAGCGAAATGATTGGTCAGCGCAATGTTTTCCAGGGGACCATGACACTGTTTACAACGCAAACTGCCCCTCCATTGCACCCATTTAGTGCCATTTGGTGCTATTCGGGGCCATCCTGGGACCCCCCGCGATGTACCTTTTAGGTGGTAGACCCGGGGCCAGCCGCCAAAAGGACGAATGCGAAAAGAGCACCAGAGTGAGAAGAGCCCGCCGACGTGCATCGGATGGGACGCACCAAGACCAAAAGAAATCCAAAAGATTCCCACCTCTCTCCTACACAAGGTAATCACCTGCTGCCAGATGCAAAGAAAAAAGAAATTCGAAAAACAAGAGCGTCCAATTATAACCTTGGTCACCTCCCAAGACACCTCACCATACATCAAGTCCTTGTACGCTGCAGACTGCAGACCATCTCAGGTACCTCTACATCGCTAGCTTGTACTGCAAAACCCTCCCAAAGAAGACCACCGCCGTCTCAAACTCAATCGAATAATACAACAAAACATTCTCTCAATTCCTTCCACCACAGCCTCGGATGACGCAGTGTACAACCCAGCGAGATTCCTCAGCTGGCCTCAGTCAACCCAACCTGGATGCTATCGATCAATTGACTCGATTTGGCCAGACCCTCGACGTCCAGGCCTGGCACCGGCACGATTGGGCAACAACACCAACGCCCACTCCGCCGCCACAACACCAAAGCCGCCAGACACCACACCCTCCTCCTCCTCCTCCACCACAATCGCAACCACAATCACAACACCAACAAAACCACCCGAATCAACCACACACTTACCCGCCCCAGCCATACCAAGCTCCAACTACAGTCCCAGCCCTAGACACTGTCTCGAACTCTACACGCGCGCCCTCTCCCTTCCATGCCCCGGCACTCACTTCTCCCGCCCCGGCAGACTTGCGATTGGCCCACCGCCCCATGACCGCAGAGTCGAGACCGCCGCACTCCATGGCCACGGCCACACGCAAACGCAGCCGCGACAACTTTGAAATTCACGAAGATCCCCCCCACGCCCGCACAGAAGACACCGAGATGATGGCCGAGTCGGAACAACACACCGAAGAGGTCGAAGAGGAGGAGGAGGAGGAGGTCGAGGAACCCTCCGACGAGAGCTCCGATGAGGACGAGGTTGTCGACACGGACGTTCAACGCGACATGGACCGTTTACAAGATACCTTTCCCGGCTTCCCCCAAAGATATCGCCTAATTAAGAGGATTGGTGAAGGTATGTCACTTTGTTGTTGCTTTGTCTGTTGTTTCCCACTAACAAACACCCTCTGCAGGCACTTTCTCGACAGTCTACAAGGCTGAGGACCTCCAATACGAGTTCTACGATAACAGCTGGGATCTCGAAGAAAAGGACAACCTCGCTGCGAAGTGGACGTCGCCGCCTCTGAAGTCCAACGCCAGCAACACATCAGTAACCCGCGATCGTCGCCGCGCCCGATATGTCGCCATCAAGAAGATCTACGTTACCTCGAGTCCCAACCGCATCCTCAACGAGCTCGAGCTCCTGCACGACTTGAGGAACTGTGCCGCCGTGTGCCCCTTGATCACAGCCTTCCGGTCCACTGACCAGGTCATTGCTATACTGCCCTATTTCCGTCACGAGGATTTCCGTGATTACTTCCGCCAGATGAAGGTCTCGGATATGGCCATCTACCTTCGCAGCTTGTTCACCGCCCTGAAGGCCGTCCACGAACACAAAATCCTCCATCGCGATATAAAACCCACAAACTTCCTCTACGACCCTCAATCAAGACGCGGTGTGCTGGTCGACTTTGGTCTTGCTGAACGCGAGGGTTCCGACAGCAAGCCTTGTCTCTGCCACGAGAGCAAAGACGTACGCAAACAGAGAATCACCAACAGCGCGGCATCCCAAAACGGCCCTCAGCAGGGCTACCCCAAGACAGACACTCGGCCGTCCAGGAGGGCGAACCGTGCCGGCACAAGAGGTTTCCGTGCCCCCGAGGTGCTTTTCAAGTGCACCGAGCAGACGACCAAGATTGACATCTGGTCAGCGGGTGTTATCCTATTGACAATCATGAGCAAGCGGTTCCCCTTTTTCAACAGCGCTGACGACGTCGAGGCCATGGTTGAGATCGCCACTATCTTTGGTGTCAAGCGCATGAAGCAGGCGGGCCTCCTCCACGGCTGCATGTTCGAAACCAATATTCCCACAGTCGGCAATGCAGGATTCTCGCTTGGGAAGATTATTCTCTGGTCCACATGCCGCACCGATGGCGGTAAGGACGGTCAGCCTGGCATTCCCTTGACAGACGAGGAGAAGCTGGCCGTCGATTTCCTGGAGCGCTGCATGGAGCTCGATCCTGCTCGACGCATCAGTGCCAAGGACGCTTTGGAGCACGAGTTCCTACGGGAACCTAAGCCCAAGCAGTCGGTGGAGATGGATGATGATGATGAGATGCATATCCTGGAGGCGTAATGATAATGTTTTGACACTAAAAAAAAGAGATTTCGATACCAACGGCGAGTGTCTTGGGGCCACATTGAGCATTGAGTGAGTGGATGCATGGGTATGGTGGTCAGGCATGTATTTGTACAAACGATGGACGAACATATGGGAATTGGGAGTACGGAGGTAGCATGCCGGAATAGTGGAAGGCAAAGGCTTGGGAAAAGCATGCATCATGTTGAGATGCGCTGTTCGGACGGAACGCATACCGTAGAAACTCGTCAAACTCGTACTTGCGCTAGCCCGTGCATGCAACGATTTATACCTTTCTCAGTACCAAAAACTCGCTGATCTCCGCCACTGATTGAGATTTAGATTCCGAATAGAGGCGTGTATTGGTTGAATGCTCAGTGAGACAGCGGGAGCACGGGCTAGCGCAAATACGAGTTGCGTGAGTTTCTACGGTACATAGGTCGAGACTAGACAGAGAACAAGACGAATAGACGTAAAAAAGTAATACCATTTCAAATCGTACCCTGTCCGCCTCATGGAATCCCAGACACGCCACTAAACCGGATATCATCAAGCCATGAACTTTTGATTTGGAAGAGCCTTTCGTTTTTTTATTCGTCAACTCCTCGAGGTCGGGTCATTATGTAAAAGAACCGTTTTTCCATCGGTCCTTTTCCCGTGTATCCGCCAAGCTTTTGACTGTGGATGACACAAGATGTTCGCAGAACGCCGTCCGCTTGACCCGTGGCTATGAAGCCATCGTTCCCAAGTACCGTTGCATACCATCCGTCGAGAGTTGTGATGATTGTATTGACTGAACTTATGCGACGAGCTCAACGACACCACCGGCCTCGGTGATCTTCTTCTCGGCCAGCTTGGAGACCCACCGAGCCTTGACGACGATGGGGACCTCGGGGAGGCGGCCCTTGCCGAGGACCTTGGAGTAGCCGAAGGGGAGGAGGTCGATGACGGGGACCTTGTCGCCCTTGCCGGCGAGGTACTCCTCGCGCTTCTCAGCGGGGACGAGGGTCCAGAGCTTGTCAAGGTTGATGACGGGCTTCCAGAAGTGGCTGCGCAGAGTTAGATGAAGTCTGTTTGAGATTTGTACTGGATGACATACGCTTGCTGCTTGTGGAAGTGACGCATACCAACCTTACCGAAGTAACCTGTGAGATTGTTAGCAGGACGTTGATGATTCCGTTTGAGATCAGGAAGAACATACCGGGATGGTACTTGTCCAAGTTGGTGCGGTGGTGGTGCTGACCACCGGCCAGACCACGACCACCGGGATGCTTGCGGTGCTTGCCAACACGTCCGTGACCGGCGGAGACGTGTCCGCGGCTACAGAGAGAGAAAAAGAGAAAGTCAGCTTCCGGGTACATTTGGAAACGAAGACAATTCTCCCAGGATCGCAGAATGGCAGAGTTGGTGGTTATCACGCCCCGTCCCCTCTCCTCACATCTCTGTATCACCAGAGGAAAGAGTCAAGGGACGGGTGTGATAACCTCCTTTTTGGTGGGGAAGCAATGTTGACGCCCTTGTTTTCAACATGCTTGACCCCCTCTGAACCATCGCGCCTGACATGGCAAACAGCCAAACATCATTGTGCATGTTCCTTCTTTTTTCATCCTTCCCATCCCTCACGACGGTCGCTCTGGCATCAAGCCATCGAAGAAAACGACTGCGCGCGCGCGAAACCGTCGAGAAGGATAAAGACCAGATTTATAGAATCGGAGCGGAGCGGGATTGGTAGACGTACTGCTTGCGGGTGCGCGAGAATCGGGTAGGCATGGCGTCGGCTGTGGGAGTGGTCGACTTGTGGTGGTTAGTATCGCTGAGGAACTTCCTTTCGCAAAAAGTTCGCAAGAGAGGAAATTTGTGCTGGTGGTGGCAGGCTGGCGGCAGAGCCCCGGGCAATTGGCGGGGCGGAGGGCAGCCAGCCCTAAGGTCTTTGGTGCTGGATGGGACCTGAAGGTGTGCATTATGTCAGCATGGGATTTTCCTGCCCCAGTTCCATTGTTTTCGTTTAGCCCCACTCTCCGGCTTCCAGCCCGGTCCACAGCTCACCGATCTCCCATGATTCTCCCTCACCGAGGTGAGCTTATTGGGTCGGGTCTGTTTTCTCTCTGTTCAATGCACCCGGCAACCGTGACCCTTGCGACCCTCTGCATGCACGTGTGTCGACGATCCGGGACTCACAATACTGTGCCCACATCGATCATCGAATGCTTGTTGACATTAGTGACAATACGCTGCCTTCTTCGTCGCATACTAGCTAGCTTCAAAAGCTCCGCGGCGTTTGCTGGCCCATCTCTCATGTCACCTCGTCATGGCAGACGAGCCCGGTGACATGACTGTCCCGGACGGCATTGACTTCAACCACCCTTACGCGCCTTACGATGTGCAGACTGACTTCATGAAAGCCGCCTATGGCGTATTGCAGCAGGGAAACGGACAAGTCGGCATTCTCGAGAGCCCGACAGGCACGGTAAGAGGCCACGAACAGCAATCGCGTGCACTCAAGTGCTGACTTTCATCTCTAAGGGCAAATCACTCTCACTAATATGCGCCTCATTGACATGGCTGCGGAATCAGCGTGTTGAGGAACACGAGGCATCTCTCAAAGTCAACATGGACGACTTCAAGGATGAGCCCGACTGGATTGTGGAGCAGATGCTACGCCGGAAAAGAGATGAGCTCGCCCGCACCTGGGAAGAGCGAGAGAAGAAGTTGGAACAGATTCGTCAAAAAGAAAAGGCCATTGAAGCTCGCAGTGCTAAGCGTCGCCGTTTCGACGATGGCCCCTCGAGATCAAAGCCTCGTGCTACTGACGGTGAAGAGGATGACGAATGGTTGCTCGATGAGCCAGATGCAGCTGGGTCAGCCAATGACGGCGACGCCATGAGCGGCCTCAGCAAGGAGACAAAGGACATTCTCTCCAGGTTTGGCTTGGGAAGTCTCAAGCCCGAGCAAGAGGAGGTCAAGGTTGCCGATGGAGTAAAGGTGCGCAGAGCCCCTGATGTTGCTGGGCACGTTGGTAACATGAGTTCTATCAGATATACTACACGTCAAGGACGCATTCCCAACTCACTCAATTCATCCATGAACTGCGACGACCATCGTTCCCCTCTTCCGTACCTCGGTCGATTGTCCAACGCCAGAGTGAAGACGATCAACCTGCCAAAGAACCAGTCAAGCACCTGCCCCTATCATCACGACAGAAACTCTGCATCAACCCCTCCGTGTCGCGCCTCGGTAGCTTGTCCGCCATCAATGACCGCTGCGCGGAACTGCAGAAGCCCAAATCCAAGGATAAGTGCCCACACGTCCTGAAAGAAGATAACATTGCCGAGACGCATCAGTTCAGGGACACTGCCCACGCCACGTTGCCAGACATTGAAGACCTGTACCATCTGGGGAAGAAGCTGTCTGTTTGTCCATACTATGCATCACGCGCGGCGATCGCCGGTGCCGAAATTGTCACTTTGCCGTACCCTTTGCTTCTGCAGAAAAATGCAAGAGACGCGCTCGGCATCAAGTTGGAGGGCAATGTGGTTATTGTCGACGAGGCGCATAACATCATGGACGCGGTAGCCAACGTGTATGCGTCCGAGGTGAAGCTGAGCGAGCTGAGGAGGGCACGACAGATGCTCGGCATATACGTCAAGAAGTTTGGCAAGAAGTTGAAGGGAGAGAACCGAGTCATGGTCGGGCAGGTGGGCAGAGTTGTCGAGGGTCTCAGCGAGTGGATGGATGGGCAATCGAAGCTCAAGGTAGGACTCCATGACCGAAACCTCACGTCTGTGCTGACTAACATGTTGCAGAGTACCCAGGGCATCGTCGACTCCAAAGTCCTTCTCCGCTGCAAGGGAGTAGATCAGATCAATCTCTTCCGTCTGATCCAGTACATTCAAGAGTCAAAACTCGCCTACAAGATCGAGAGCTATGTTGCCCATGTTGAGGAAGAAGCCGCTGACGTAGGCCACGTCAAGGCACCGCCAAGATCATCCACGCCTGTTCTTCACATACTATCCTCATTCCTAATCTCCCTCACCAATCTGAGCTCCGAGGGGCGCATTTTCTACGAAAAGCTTGCCACGAACCCGCCAGATATCCAGCTTTCTTACCTACTGCTATCACCAACACACGCCTTCTCAACCATTGCCACGAGCGCCAGAGCTGTCATCCTCGCTGGCGGCACCATGTCCCCATTCGACGACTACAAAGACCATCTCTTCCCATACCTTTCCACCTCAAAACTCACCACCCTCAGTTGCGGGCATGTCATTCCACCGTCTAACCTCTGTGTATGGACCCTGGCGGGCACACGGCCCGGCCCAAATCGGGACACCAATTCGACTTTTGAGTTCAGCTTCCAGCGCAGGGCCGACAAGGCTATGGTAAGCCAGCTCGGCCTGGCCATTTTGAACATGTGCAACGTCGTCCCAGATGGCGTTGTCATGTTCTTCCCAAGCTACGGGTACCTCGACGAAGTTGTTGCAGTGTGGGATAGTCGGACTGCCGGGGAGCCCAAGTCAATATGGCAGCGCCTTCAAGAACGGAAGCAGGCATTCAAAGAAACCCGCGGCGGATCCAGCGACGAGGTGCTGGAGGCGTATAGCCAAGCCATATTGGGCGACGGCACTGACGCAGAAAAGGGAGCGCCACCCAAACCTCGGGGCGCCCTGCTGCTCAGCGTCGTCGGAGGCAAGATGAGCGAAGGCATCAACTTTTCCGATCGCCTAGGTCGGTGCGTCATCATTGTAGGCCTTCCATACCCAAACATCAACTCCCCCGAATGGAAGGCCAAGACAGAATACATCGAGACCACGACTGTTCAGCGACTGACCGACCCTGACGGCACGACGAAGATGTCGAGAGACGAGGCGTTGGTGGTCGCGAAGCAGACGGCGAGGGACTTTTACGAGAACGCGTGCATGCGGGCCGTGAACCAGAGTATTGGGCGGGCTATCAGGCACATGGGTGACTATGCGGCCATCGTTCTCGTGGATCGCAGGTATGGAACGGAGAGGATCCGGGGAAAGCTTCCAGGCTGGATTCGAGGTGGTATGAATGGTGACAGCCATGAGAAGGGGCTGCCTCAACTGATGGGAGCACTGAGTGGGTTCTTTCGGTCGAAGAGGACTGGAGCATCGTGATAGTGTCGTTGGCCTCGTTGGCGTGTACTGTCTATTGTATAATCCGTATTGAATAGGCTCCAACTGAGCATCTCGTCCAAGAAGAGGAAACGAGTCAAGTCGCTGACCAGTACCTGGCGGGAGGTTTATTGGTTGCCACCAAGTAAGTATATCGAGGTGCGCCCGGACATGATCGCCGTTCTAGATACCAGGGATTCCAAAAAGATCGACCTCGAACACGGCAGTCTCGGAAGCAACCCTTGAATGTAGAGGTCAAGGCTGGTCTCATGAGAAGCACCGATAGCCTACTTAATGACAGGCTCCGAGTTCGAGTTCGAGTCCCAGTATGAGTACTAAGAGATGTAGCCCCCAGTGCAGCACCGGGGTCCTGAACTCTTTTTTACCCTTTGTGTGGTTATTGGTATCTATATATAGAATCTTGTCTTACCCTCGAGTGTTTGTCTCCTAAAGGCACGTTAGCGGTAGGATGACCTTTGCTTTTCCTCTCCATCACTTCTAACCGACTTTATTACATTCTAAATGGTTAAATAATTCTCTAAAATATTCTATGAGAGAGCATTCCTATGACCTTTATTCAACATCAGTGTCTAAATGAAAATACAAGATGAGGTCGTTCATTTGAGATATAGACAAGTCAATTTGGAGTAGAATCAAGAGACAATACCGGCGGGAAGGAGCTCTCGTCCCGTCGTTAACTCCCGGAGCGGCACTCCGGCGCATGTTGTACGCTCATTGGACGAGAGGTTGCACCGCCTTGTTACGATTATGTCAGCATGCTATGTCAGCATCGATACGGCATCAGTACCTGTGCCACCCCCACTTCATCCCCATAACGGTGCCTTAGTGGCGTAAGCCGTACTGAATCTCACTCTTGATTTTCTTTTTTCGCGGCCTCGTGTTACCGTAATTCGGTTGCCTGAATCGGCGTCTATCCCGTGACTCACTGCAACAATGAGGCTCTTCAACACTGTTCATGAGAGAGAGGGCTAGAATCAGCCACTCGTCTACTGAACAAGAGACTCTCTGAATGGCCATCAGTCACTATGGCACTCGCAGCGGGAGCCGACGTGTCCTACACCCCCCCGCAGTTCTGGTGTTTTTGAGGTTCCATAGTGAAAATCCTACGCTACCTCGTCGTCTAGTATTCTTTGCATACGCCGCCTCGCCGCGATATCCACCGGCCCCCAATGAGCTGACGAGCTGACCTTGGTGAACCTGGGCAGGGCTGCGTCGGTTGTGTCACGCGTCGCGGCGACGGTTTGCTATGCACTCACATTCACCGCCTGCTTTCGCCTCGTTTGGCCTGGCCTGGCCTGACCTGAACAGTCTTGAATACTGAACAAGCTGTCTTTCTTTCTGGCCTCGGACTGGTTGGTCAAGCTTGGTTGCACAGCTGCCCAAGTCTCCGCAAGCTTACTCGTACCTTACTACTTGTAGAGTACGAGAGTAGATCTACCCCTCGTCACTCCCGATCTCTCTGACGCAGGTCTCACCACCACCACCACCACCACCACCATCACCACCTTCTTTACCTTACTTTAAAGCACTTTATCTTAGGTGCTTACTTCCTTAGTTGTAACCACTCGGTCGCTCCCGCGCTCCTTCCGCTGCCTTAGCTTACGATTTCAACATTTTGAGGCAGTGACCTTCCCGTCCACCGTTTCCTCGTTCCTGTCTCATTCCAAGTGTGGCTTTGGACCGATCTGAGGTTCTTGTCGACTGCAACTATTGACGGGAAACACACCTCTCCGACTGCTCAAGACCTCAAGACCTCAACATCCTCCTCCTCCTACTGCTACTATCGTTGTTATTGTTTTTCTACTCTCTCTTTATTCCTCGGACAACATCTTCAATATGGATGAAAAAAAGCCGCAATTGAGGCGCTCCGACAGCATCGACCGGCGATTCGCCGACGTCCTAGCCAATGCCCAGAAGCAGTACAACTCCAAGGGGATTGATCTCACGGCTTACATGAACCCACCCATCAAATCCACCGAGGACCTCATGAACATCATTGCCGACCAGAATAAATCCTTCCAAAGCTTCCGCGACAAACGCAAACGCCTATTTGAATATCTGTCGGCCGCCTGCAAACCCCTCGAGATTGCTGGCGAAGCTTTAGCAGGTGCAGCCGAAGATGTTTTCCCACCGGGCCAGACCATTTTCGCCGTCGTCGCGTACCTCATCAACACCGCCCGAGGTGTTTCGGACGTTTACGATACCATAACCACATTATTCGAACAGTTGAAGGACTTCACTGTCAGACTCAAATTTTATGTCTCCCAGGAGTTGTCGCCCGAGCTCCAGGACAAGCTCGCCGAGATTCTCGTCAGCGTCTTCGACATATTTGTCATCGCTGCACACGAGGCAAAAACAGGCCGTCTCAAACGCTATGTCAAAAATATATTCGGCAAGGGAAGCAATGTCCCTGATGCCATGACGAAGCTGGTTTCGCTGACCGAGGGCGAAGAGCGCCTGGCCATCGCAGAAACCAGTGCCGGCGTCAAACGATCCCTTTCAAATGAGCAGAAGCTTCTGGAAATGATGTCGAGAGTCGATGTCAACGTTCAGACCTTGCGCAACGAGACTCGCGTGCCCCAAAGTCAGACAAGAGAGCAAGCTCTCTCTTCCAACAGAGACAAGCTCAAAAAGATTCTCCAACCCTCCGTTTACCCATTAGATTACTACACTGCTCTGGAAAGGACCCGCACCCCTGGCACCTGCGAATGGATTCTGAAAGACCCTGCTCTCCGAGCTTGGTTTGCTGGCGATATCCGTTTCCTCTGGATTTCTGGAAACCCCGGCACAGGAAAGTCATACCTAACATCCCGTCTGGTCTCATGGGGCCGAGATCTGCTCGACGAGGAGCAAACCACTAGCATGATGGGATACTTCTTCTTCCGCCAGAACAACCCGGAATCTAGATCCGTGGTCCAGGCTATCAAAGACATGGCATACCAAGTCAGTGAGCAAGACGTCTTTTACGGCAAACAGCTCGTCCAGAACATCGCTTCTAGCGATGAAATCAAGACAGTCTCAAGCGCTTTCAGAAGATTGCTCGAAGACCCCTGCAAGCCTGACAAATGGAAGAGGCACATCTATCTTCTTGTGGACGGCCTAGATGAAGCCGAGCCCAGAGAAGTCACAGAGTTCTTAGCATTGTTGGGCGACCTGGACAAGCAACAATCGACAGGAACAAGGGTGCAGGTTGCCTTGATTGGACGAAATACTCTCACGGAGGAGGTCCAGGGATCGATGGGAGATGAAACTATCAGCAGATCACTTCTTGTCACACCCGACCGGAACGGGCACGACATTGAGTCCTATATCAAGGAGGGAGTTAACCGTTCTCGCATTCTTCGACGCTCCACACAAAAAGAAAAGGACACAATCATCGATGCCATGACCAAACAAGTCGACAGTCTTTTCATCCTGGCCAAGTTCATGTTGACTGAAGTCAACAGAAACAGGCACCTGACAGACATTGCGAAAAGCTTGAGGACCTACCCCAAGGAGATGAATGGAATGTTGACAAAGGCCGTAAAAGACTTCAGCAGAACCTTTACTCAAAGAGATGCAGACGATTTGAACGAGATTTTGCGCTGGGTCTCGGTTGCCGAGATGGGCTTGACTCTCCAGCAAATCGAGTCTTTTCTGGCCCTTAAGATGGGAGACGCCCCGCTGGACCTTGAAGGATTACTGAGAGGCAAACTCTCCTGCTTCTTCACACTTGAGCGGGAAGACGGGCTCTCGACAGCTGATCTTATTGAAAAGCACGAGAAAGCCCGTCATTTGGACAAACTGGACTTCACCGACACAGATATGAACATTCAGTATGATTCAAAAAAGAGCACTACATATGTCAACTTCTTCCATGATTCAGTCAAGGAGTTCTTCCGAGGAGACTCGTCAACGAATCTCAAGGCAGATGGCGCACATTGCCCATCCATCGGGTTCCATCTTGCCGACGCGAGACTGCACGTTCTCAAGACCTGTTTGCGAGTCTTCACTGACCCGACATACGTCACTCTCGGCGAGGATGGGCTTTCTGCGCAAAGGTATGCTGCCTGGTACTGGCAAGAGCACTTGGACTACATCGAGATCACTACCATCTCCAAAGCTGAGAAGACCGACATTGGCAAACGCCTCTATACCATGCTTACTGACCCGGACATCCTTCTCACCTGGACAAACCTATTCGAGGAAAGTCTAGACATCTGGACTGACCGCAACATCGAAATTGTTTCCCAGTGGCTGAGAGATGCCGATGTTACAAGCGCTCTGACTCCAGAGCAGAAGAAGTGGACCAAGTCGGCGACAGAAAGCCCTGCAAAATTGCTTGAACCCATGGGGAGAACATTCGCCGAGGCTTGGCTTGGGGAAGGGTCTCGAGTATACATGACGACGTTGTTCTGTTTCGGTGTTGTCCAGTCACTACCGCTGTTGGAAAGGGGCAAAAAATGGTCCGATTCCGAATATCACTGGCAGGAGGTGCCGCTGGAAACGAGGATCAAGCAGGCCGCCGACTGGGCGAAACAGCCCGAAACGGGACATTGGCTCCGGAGAATCGGCAGTACTCTCTTAAACTTGGGAGAGCACACCAAAGCATTGGAATACTTTAACAATGCTTTCAAGAAAGATGGCAACAAGGCGGAAAGCTTCGGCCGAATGGGGCTTTGCCACGGCCTGCATGGCAACTATGAAGTGGCTCTGAAATTGCACCATGAATGCGAATCGTTGGAGAAGACGCGAATGGCCGAGAACTTTTACAAGACCGACCAGGAGATCAAAGGTGCCAAATGGAGACTTTACAGGAACCAAGCTCAAATTGCGGAGTGCTACAACCGTATCGGCCGCATAAACGAAGCGATTGAGTATTGCCGTAAGGCAAGGGACAACGTCTATGGCGCCCCCGAGTTTGAAGCCGAAATCGCCCATATCAGGGTTCTTACCGAGAACAACCGGCTTCCAGAGTTGATGAAGCTCTCTGATGAAATGGACAGCTTGTTTTGGGATACGGATAAAGGGAACTCTCGCTTCGTACAATTCCTTCTGACCCAGATCCCCGACCCATCCATCAAGGACTGGTTTCCGCAAGCGGCGGCTCGCGCAGATCCAAGGAAGACAGGTGACTTGGCAGAACGCTATCGCAGTGCCATTCAATCCGCGCAAGAAGACCAAGATTCTTGGAAAGAGTTTTATCTACAGAATGCACTCGGCAACATCTTTTTGGCGGCGCAAGACTACACTACTCTTATTCCTATCCATGAAAAGATTTGCTTCCACGATTACAAAGCAAGAGGCAGCCTGCCTTTTCGGATCGAGTACATCGCTTCATTCAAGCAGCTCACCAGAGCATACTTCATCAAAGCGCTGGAAGCTGACCAGACATTGTTATCCAAAGCCAGTGGGAAAGCCAGTGGGGAATGGATCAAAAAGCTAGAGGTGCTCATGCAACAGCAGCAGAAGTACCAGAACAAGAATGTTCCATTGCACATGGCTGGTTTCGACTTCAACGAGCCATCCATCTTCCTGATCCTGCTATACCGTCTGTGCAACAGAGTAGCCGAATCACGCAAGCTGGTCCAAGGTCTTGTCATTGAATGCCTGAAACTCTTGGAGGACGAGGAGCCTCAGAATGACGAGATTAGTATCCGCCACCTTCAGCGGTGTCTCCTTGCTGCTGGAGACAGAGTCAATGCCCAAGCGCTATGGCAGTCGACAAGAACCCCGTCACTGTCTGCTAACCTTTCCGGTCATCTGAAGGCTGACCGAAGACGATCGAGCTCGCCCAAGATTGGGGGGCTGTCACCTAGGATGTCGTTGTCACCCAGCAGACGCAGCAAGCAAATTTTCCTCACCAAGATGTTCTCAGAAGATGACGATGTATCTTGCGACTACTGCCTCAAGAGATTTGAGCCGTCTGAAGAGTTTGCAGTGTGTTCGTACTGCATCGACTTGAAATTTTGCATGACCTGCTTAGACATTGTCAAGAGTCAGAAGTTCGAGCCAGGTCACACTTTGGTGTGTAAGCCTAGCCACAACTGGCTCATCGTGCCGCCCTTGACAGTCAATCTTCAGGCGAGTGAGATTTTGGTTGATGGACAGGTACTCAAGCTGGAGGAGTGGAAGTCAAAGCTACGACAGGAGTGGGTGCAGACTGAGCCGGCCAAGACAGGAAATGGGCTTGGATTAAAGTGGAAGTAGACCACGGAGATGTGACTGGGTCATTGGATGTAGCGTGGGTGGCATCATATTAGTGTTATGACGGCAGCTTTCTATGCCGCCGGAGCGTTTGTTTCTTTACGCTTAGATGTATTTTAATGATAGCGTAGTGGTTAATCGTTGCACTCAAAGCGCAACATGCCCAGTAGCACTAGTTCCAAAGCATCCAACTCTCCATTCAATCTTTAAGCGCCATCATGAGCAATGAACTCACCTAAACCACGTGGATTGGGCATATCACTTCGGTTATATGCCCATCGAGGTAAGAAAATCGCGGACCAAATGTCAACATCGTTCCTAAGCGTGGTGTGTGCTACACGTCGGTTTGCCGATGGAGATGGGGGAGACAAAGTTTGGAATAAGTTGGATTCGGGAACTCCAGCTTGGCATGTTGGGGCTTGGAGCTGGATAATGGCCACACCTAAGCCTTTACTGATAGATGTGACGGAAAACCCGGCGGACCTTTGGAATGCGTATTTATCGCGCCCATCGGCAAATGGACCTTCGGACTGGGCCCACATCCCGCTCACAAATGGGGCCGGTAGACTTCCGAACCGGTCAGCGGCGGGCCCGTGACTGCGGGGCCGGCGGGCGGCATCACCGAGCAGAGAGAGGAAAGCTTAATGAATCTGAAAGTTACCGCGGGATGACTGACTCGGCGTTGATGAAATCAGCGAGGGATTTTCGGGTACGGGGCACGGGAGATCGTTCGGGTGGGGGGACTCTTCGGTATCATCGATGGTAGTAGGTATGAAGCTGATGTTATTGAAGTTATGCTACCTTATCCGGCGGTTGGATGGATGATGTTACCGGCCACGCTCGACGCATCATTACGATCATCTCGGCCTCAACTAAGTAGTCACTGAACAGTAATGCATTCCAGCCCCAGCGGAAAAAGCTTTGTATTCATGATTCATTTCTCGCACGAGATCCTCGGCCCACGGACTACCTATGCACCAGCATCCTTGAGAGCAGCCTGCCCCTGCTTCACAATAGCATCCGTCTCATCCGCGCTCAAACCCGGCAACGGAATCCTCTTGCCCTTGGAATCAATCGACCCGGGCGCCTTCTTATTCTTCAGATCGAGGCCGGTGACAATCTCGGCCGCCTCCGAGTCCGTCAGCCCGGTCGTCGGGTTGACTTTGTTGTCGCCAATCGCCTCCACGCGCGGATCGCCCTTTTTCGACGTTGACGTCTTGGTCTTGGCGGTGCCGCTCCCCGACGGCTTCGCTTGTCGAGGCTCTACTGCCGCTGGGTCCATGCTCCTCGTCTTTGTCGTTGCTACTGCTGCTGCACTTTCCTCCTCCTCCTCCTCCTCTGCCTCTTCTTCATTGCGTGCTGTAACCGTCTCAGCGCGGGAGAGACTCATGTCGTCGACGAGGGCGGGGGCTGCGGCGCCCTTGAATTCGATGTCGCGGCGGTTGACGAGGTCGACGGGTTGGCGGGCAGTGAGACCGTTGAGTGCGGGCTGTGTTTGGTAACAAACGTGTAAGCATCAGAGCGTTTGGTTTTGGTGTATCAGGATCTGTCGGGTGTTACGACGACGGGGGGCGGGGAAGAAAAACGTACCAGAGCCGATGCACCGCCCGATAAGGCGAGGAAGACGATTGAGAAACGCATCTTTCTTTGTTTTTAATCTCGATGTGAGGTGTGTGTTGTGTTGTAAAAAATCACACGAAATTGATTCAAAATTTGCGTGGTTGAAACGACTGTCGGCTGCGAGAAAGAAAAGCACAAAACCGAAAGTAGTTGATTGCAGAGAGTTGCAAGTTGCAAAAGTGATGGTGAGTGAGTGTGGGATGTGTCGACACCGAACTGCTGGTGGTTTACGGAATACCAGGTCGAATTGATGAAACCGTTTAGTAAATCAGTAAATGAAGAAAAAACCAACCAAAAGAGAATGTAGCAGAGAGTCGGTAGAGGGAAGTGGAGGGGGGAGGGGGGTCCAAACACTTTGGGCAACACGTTCTTTGATCTGAACTATATAGTTGATTCGGACATGCCATCTTAATTCCCACGAGCAATGAGTTCCATGTCCATACTCACCTACACACACGCACAACCGAACAATAAGAGACATCCGAAGTTGAGAGCACGAACCAATGCCCATGTGCATCTGGGCACCGGTATCATGTCAGTGGAGAAGGGGGGACGTTGGAGAGAATGTCTCAACCACGTACCCTTGTCGCGCATCGCATCTGGGCTGCATTTGGGGCCCTGCGATGACATTTCACCCGCACTCAACCCCCAAAGAGACGGACAGCCCAGGCTGTCCAGCCAGCCAGCTCCCAGCTTGCTCGGCGGATGAGACACAGGGATGATGCTGTATATCCAAAACTATGGCGAATCAACTGGCAGGCTGAGACGGCACAAGGGGTCCTTGGAACAGGAAGGGGATTCCATAGAAGTTCCCTGGCTGCGTGTTGGTTGAAGCACTAGACTACCACAGCACCACAATACCCAGGTAATACCTCAGAGAAGGGTGTGTGTCTGCGTTGGGTTTGGATGATTTGTGTGCAGACTGTTTCGCTGGGTGACATCAAAGCGCCTCTTTCTGGAGTCTCTAGGGGTTGGTTTCTGTCATTGTGGGCGAGCAAGACACCTATTTTTGCACTCTCAGACTTTCGTCTCCTTGGTCTTGACTCTCTCTGGGAGGGGTAATAGTCTCGGTCTGGACTGACAGCGCGCAGTCCGCAATCGCAGAACACCTGGCCTCGCAGACTTCCAGGTCCAGAGTTGAGCACGACATGGACCGTTGACTTTTTCCCTCGTCCAAACATCGGTCCTCGCATCGAGACCGAGGCCGCGAGCAGCGCACTGGCCAGCCATGGTCATACCAGAGTCTTTGGGTGGTTGAGCTCTTTTGAAAGGGGGAGGGGGGGCATTGGGAGGGGCAGATTTGTTACTTTTGGGCGGAGTGAAACAGCAACGCCCGACTCGACGTGCTGTGACGAACGAGGGTCCCGCCACCAGCATAATCATAATTCCTGTGCAATTCCTGTCAGGTGCTATGGATGTTCCTTGACATAAAAGTGCGCATCTACCGCACGAGTGCGTGTGTGCTCAGCTCCCGACCGTGAAAAGCCTTTTTCTTCGCCTCATCTACACGAGCAAATGAGGCTGTGTTTGGGTAGAATAGGGGCTGTCCGAAGACTCTTACCTAGTAGGTAGCTTAAGGTAGGTACGGGTAGAAAGGAACTGACCACTTGATGATGAACGAGGTGTACGATAGCTCTAAATCAAAGTACGTTAGGCTCGGGCCCATCGAATTTGGCCAGAACTAAGGCACACTAATAACACCTCAAAGTAACGGATACGGGTAAAGAGGTAAAGGTGTGGAAGAGCACCGAGATTGATTGCGATCCGCCCCCCCCCCCCCCCAACTTCCTCTAACGCGGGCCCACCCCGGCCGACACCGACGGTTAACTCGGCCCGGAGCCGGACAAAAAGATTGCGTGCTGTAGTAGACAGATTTTGTGGCTCTGATTCCCCAGAGCGGGATGTTAGTCTATTTCATTAATTCCCGCTGCACTAATACCTAGTGCCGTCCAACCGTCTTCGCACGTTGAGAAGGTCAGACGAGACACTTGCCCCTATTCCAACCTGCGCGATTGTGGCAACGGGCTCCGAAAAGTGCTGACGAGCTCCCGTGGCAAAGGCAATGACTAGACCACCCAGGTTTAAACAGACCAACGGCTTGGGAACCCGGCTTAGCTCGGCACCAAAGGATAAAAAACCTCACCATCTCGTATCGTCATGCGTTAAGAGTCGCAAGAAGTGGTCACACTACTGACCCCCTTCGGTGGTTCGGCACTGGCGCAATTTACTTGTAACGGGAGCACGGCCTATAAGTCGCCAGATATCGGACGTGGGGCCGGCTTGCCGGGGTGCCGGGGCCGCTCTCCCCAAGGCTCCAAGTTCGAAGGCCGAGACTCAGCAGGGCCCTACTACCGGCATGGAATCTTCTCGCTACGTCCAGAAGAGGGAATCCAACAGGGGGGCCTTTTGTCCCAAAGAAGCTCGCTTTCGTTGATGGGGGCCATGGTAGTGAGTGTCTCATATCCTGGTAGCACATCACATATTTTCAGAGCGAATTCCACCGTTGCGAACCACTGCTTTCTCATCTGGCTTTCCAATTAGATGGTGCGGACCTTGGCATCTAAGTTGAGGACCATGGTTCGATAACTCGCACTTTCTCTATTGCCGAAACCTCGTGATGCTGAGAGACATCCGGCATTCGTAGTCAGGGCCACAATCCTACCACATTTGCGGAAAGGAGGCCGGCACAGGAACGGCTACGTTTTTAATGTGTGAAAGATGTAAAATTTTCGAGTCTCATCGTGGTCCTCGGTACTGGTCGCCGATATAGAAAAGACTGTTGACTAAGTATATTGACTATTAGGGACCTCCGTGTACACAGCAGACGATGTTGACTGGACCCCGAGGCATGAAACTTGCATACACGACATGTGCTTTCGGGATACTGAAAGTATGTCAGCCAAGATTTTCTTGAGTTTGACTATTCATGGCAAGGACTCGTGATGATAAGCATGTTCCTGCAGGTTTCATTATGCTTGAAGACCCTCCAGTGTTATGTGCAGGATTGTGCCGTACTTACCTCTTTCCAGAGGCTCTCCGGAGGCACCTTTGTATCCCATCGAGTGCTGACTGACGCCATTTTTGCCAAGGGCGGGGTAGAGCCAATTAGGGGTTGGAAATCTATAGAGTTAACCAATAGGGTTACAGTACCTCTATTGCCTACATATTCTGCGTATGCCAGAGGTACCAACAATTCCCCTGGGTACATAAAGGTACGTTACAGTCTAAGCAGCCCTTCCTCGTATATTTACGCCGCATGAGGGTATTCCCAGATATCTCGCCTAGAGCCTGGCGGTTTCTTATTGCCCTCAGATTACTACAATAAGAGCAAGGCGAATTAACCTTCCGTGACCCTTTTGTATGCTGTTCCCATGGAATAGAGGTATTCCTCATGTCTGTACGTCTAGGTCGTGATAGTCTACGCCCGCCTGCTAATGGTCCAAACCGTTGAATAAGCTGGGCTGCTAGTAACTGCCGCCATTGATAGTTGGATTCCACCTTCTGCCACCTAGGGCTACCCCAGAGCTGTAATAAGAAGCTATTCACAACTACTACTTCCAGCAGGAAATTCCAGGCTAGGGACTGCCAGCCCCCTCGCCGAATAGGGTGACCGTATTGATAATAAGACCTCATCTGGTCACTCACATCAACCCCATTCATCTTGTGGTTGTATTCATCAATTGCCCTAGGGACTGGAAGGTCCTTGCGGACGTCTGGGCCAAACACTTGCCGGCAGCCCCCGGACCTCTTGGGCCCGGGCTGGTACTTCAAAGGGCCGGAAGGAGCCCGGAGGGCCATGCTCGGTAGTCGGAGGTTCACAGGGCCGGATTGTGGCCTCGTCACAGCCGTCTGGCTTACAAGCTGTATTACAAGCAGCAGCTAGGTCTTCTGGGTAGACCTCAACTACTATAGTGCTGAGTACAGAAGTAACAGAAGTTTTAGAAGCAATAGAGGTATCAGAATCACTAGAAGACATTGCAGCATCAATTGAAATGCTAGTAATACAAGTAGTAGTGATAACAGGTAAAAGAGCAAAGTGGTAAGGGAATTGATACACGGGCATGACTCTTACACGGGCATGACAGCTACGCACTGTCATTAGCCCAAAAACTGCTGTTAACTCATCCTGATTCTGCCGGTTCTACCCAAAGTATCTGGAAAGGAATTTTCGGAATTCGCAATCGCGACGCGTCTATCCGGTTAAGCCGCCATCGCTATATCATGATACCTCCTATGTCCGAGTCCGCCCTACCGCCACCAAGGCGCAACCCGCAACGTCGAGCTAGGAGCTCGACCTCGAGTAACGAGCCCGACCTAAAGCGGCGACGCAATAGATATTCTTTTATCTCGCGACCTCCTACCGCTAGCAGTTCGGACACAAGCATTGGTAACTACTATGGCCTTGGCGACGACAATGCTCTTGAGAACATCTTTGCTTCCTACCCAGACCGGTTCTATCAAGTTACTCGCTCCTACGGCTCGCGCGGGAATAACGCGGCACCTATCGAAATACAGGATGACCATAAAATCTTTCTACACCGGTCATTTCCGACGAATACTACTCAATCTTATCGAGTAACTATGCCAATGCTTAGCCCGGAATACGGCCTACTCCCATCGCATCCTACCTACGAATCCACTTCACAAGACGAAGAGCATCGACCTATACAAGCTACCTCTATACAAGATTTCATATCTATATTACGCCTAGTAAAGGAAGTAGTGGGGGAAGGCCGGCAGCTAACTAAAGAACTGCTTGATTCTTTTGAACGAGTTCGACGATGGCGATAGAGATGGGGTTATTCACTATACCCATCTGATACGTCTACGTCACCACCCCTACCACTATATTCCCTTCCTCGCTATACGAGGTATCCTTCTACCGATTCTCAAGTAAACTCGCTAACTTCATTATTACGAAGTTCCTACTCCCCAGGTCAACGCTCGTCTTCGCCTTTACCCGACCCGATACCAGACCCATAGATCCCTGGCAACCTAGAGCCCACAGTCGATGCCCTGTTCGACCGAGTTAACGCATTTCCTAGAGAGAACGGGTTTGGCATTGCACGTCGATATGGATATATATGTAAGGCAAAAAGATAAGATATACGTTTTAATGCGACCGTTTTAGTGAACCGCGGCCTATTGAGGGTGCGGGGTTATGCTAACGAAAATCGCGAAAGTGTGGCTGCAAGTGGATGATTATTGCTGAGACGAAGGAAGAGGGTGCTTGGCTTTTACGACGGCATGCTAAAGCCGAGCATGCCTAACATAACCACGGGCTAAGCCTCAGTTCCTCGGCACATCCTTCGCATCGGAGGCTTACACTATTGACTAAGAGTACTATTAAAGCTACTAGCCGCCGGGCTGGTATTAGGGCCCGCGACGTTCGTGCTATCGTTCAGGAACAATTCCCAGATTCCGTGTTCACTCAACAGGATATCTATAATGCTAGAGCCATTATAAACAGGGAGAAATTAGACGGCCACTCGCCAACAGCCGCTCTGATAAAGCTCTTCGACGAGCGAGAGGTGTCCTATATTGTTAAGTGGGCTGATGACGAGCCCAACCGGCTTGTTGGCTTAGTATGGACATTCCCATTTTGTCTCTCAATGTGGAGGCGCTTCCCGGAGGTAATCAGCTTTGACAACACATATAACACGAATCGCTTTAAGCTTCCGCTGTTTCAAGCCACTGGCCAGACATGTACTGGATCTATTTTCAACGCAGCATTCGGCCTTATTAATAACGAGAGATTGGAAGGGTTCTAGTTCCTCGTAAAAGGCAACTGTCAACTAGTTAACCAGCATTCGATTCGCTTACCAATTGTCATCATTACCGACTATGATAAGCAGATGAAGGCCGCCTTAGCTTACGAGTTCGCCGACGTACAGCAACAGCTTTGCATCCACCATATCAACTCCAATGTTATGCTTAGGGCTAAGCAGAAGTGGGTAAAGGGAAAACGGCTAGAGGGTGCCGGCAGTAGCTCGGACCACGAAGACGACAATGAGCCCTCGAGAACACTCATAACGGAATTAAGCGACGAGGACCAGGCGTATATCCACACGCCCACCAACGATTCAATCCCCCATACATATCTCGGAGTCTTTGCAATGTGGAAGCTTATTGTCTTTGTGGAGACCGAGGTTGCTTATGAGAAAGTATGGGCTAGTCTCTGTAAAGAGTTCGATGATTAGCGGCTAATATTACGTTATCTTTACGGGATATACTTTCCCGTTAGAGCTCAGTGGGCTCGCTGCTATATCCGAAAATATCAGAATTTTGGTATTCGCGTCACCTTAGGGACCGAGTCTAGTAATAATAATATCAAAGGCTATCTCCTCAATGGCCTGAGTCACTTATACCGACTCGTTAATGTTTTGCAGGATATGATTCGAGACCAAGAGTTACGGTTTACGCAGTCCTGTGCAGAGGATGAGGTACTAACTGCCCGTCAATACGCTAGAGCTAGTTCGGAGTACCTAGGTGAACTCCGAGGTATGCTTTCTTCAAAGTGCTTAGGGTTGATTATAAAGCAATACCGGAAAGCAAGGACAGCATTACCGACCGGCAATCATCCACGGCCCCCTCCTATTGGAGATTGTATGGACGACTGTTCTACCTCGGTAGAGCTGGGTATTCCTTGCTACTATACAATCTACGCAAGGCTTACAGCTGGGACGTCTTTTACGAAGTGGGACGTCCATCCTCATTGGAGACTAAGGGAAACATCCTCTAGAGATCCATACCGTCGGATTCTAGACCCTAAGATTGTTACCTCCCTCCGTGGTAGGCCGAAGAACATAGCATAGCCTGTCCCTGCTCGATTAGCCGTACGAGAGGATAATAGTCTAGGGGCTTAGCGCAGGAAAACGCCACCGGTAGCCTTAAAGATAACTTGGCGAGGCCGTCCACTAGGAAGTCGTAATAAGGCGATTATCGCAAGGCTTATACAAGAGATAGGGTAGCAAGAGAGTAACCAATATACGGCCTTATCATAGCCACATACTAGAAGTTAGTCTAGCAAACTCGGTACAGGGAGATCTACAGGAGTGCGAGCTAGTGGACGGGTATTACAAGCGAGTATTCGAAGGATGAGGTGCGAGTGGGAGATGTTGATTAGTAGCAGTGACGAGGCCGTCCCTCAACGGACACGATCATCCAAATAGGGCTTCAGTAGGATCTAGTATTCATCCGCCACATATTTACTTACGAATATCCACATTATAATAAAGAGATATAGAAAGCGAAGTAAACAAAGTATGAATAAAGTCGATCATATGGAGATGTATCTAAAGTAGGCTCAGTGAGAGATACAAGCGCTCGGGAAGAAACATCCAGGTAAAACTCAGACATAGAATGCCGTGCTATTGGGATGCTGGCTGACAGCTTGCTAGCGAAGAACTTTGAGTAGAAGCAAGGGTTTTTATGTAGAGAGTGGAAGCTAGAGACGGGCGTAATACAATCTAATATAAAACTATTAAGATGAATACTGTTACGGCCAGCTAGTCGTAGGGGTATGTTTGCAGAAGTTGAGGCTGCGATACTCAGTAACAGTGTCGTAAGTCTGGTTGATGTAATAACCGATGTAATAATCGATTATTACACGCCACGGTCGGATAGCTTCCTGGAAGCTACGTCTGTCAATCGTAAGGTAAGGTAAGGCTTCGGTGATCAATCGTAGTCTTGTCAAGGTGATAGCTGAAAGCGGATGTTAATCCTGATACGAAGTTAATTGCTGAAGAAGCTATGGGAAGTCTGTCCTAGAGTCCGGCTCAAGTCCATCCTATATACAAGTCCTGATTCTAAACATGTCCTTTATGCTAGACAGTGTCCTTGTTTAGATATGTTGGATAGCTCTTATCCTAGTTATCCAAGGATCGCTTGGATAACTTGACGGAAACTATATGTACCCACAACTACCTAAATGCAGTAGAGGGATCTCTCTTTTGTATATGGCGCAACGGTACAATTCCGAATTCTGTCATAACTCATATCCAACATATCCTTATCCTTATCTCTTATCTCTTATCTCTTATTATCACGTAACTTGTCCATAGTTCTTCCGTTCCGTGAGAGGGTACCTAGTGTTCCTTGTCCTCTGTATATATGGTGCGCTGTAGCCGCCGCGAGCCAGCGGGGCAGGCCCTGGTCTTGGTTATGCATGTTGGGTCGTAACAAATATGTTAGGATGAGAAAATGTTAGTGAGGGAGCCTTCACCGCCTTTGGGACGAAGTATTCATGGTCTGTGCATTTTTTTAGGCCAATGACAGTGCGTAGCTGTCATGCCCGTGTAAGAGTCATGCCCGTGTATCAATTCCCAGTGGTAAATGTTGTATCGTCAATGTACCCCTCTAAATGCGGGGTGATAAAGTGTAAATAGTGGTGATTTTGGGGCTTGGCAAAAATGGCGTCAGTCAGCACTCGATGGGATAGGCAGCCAAAAGATAGACTTGTGGTCACCTCTCCATTTAGGAGCAAACATCAGGATAGGTCGTTTCACCCGGTTGGGTCAGTTAGTGTGCTAGTTGCCACTGGCCCACAGCCGCCCCGCATAGAATGGCCCTCCCGACACCGGTCCGCAAAACAGCTGGATCCCGCGGCTCAAGTACCACCAATACGTTGGGTATGACCAAATGAACTTTTCAGCATGAATCAAGCAGTCTGATCATTGAACCTTTGTCTGGAGAAACAGATCAAAGAATCAGCCTAACCGGGGACTTAGGGGATAATAGAGCCAAGCATGGCCTAAGTAGTAAGCGGCCAACTTCCAACTACCCGAGCCCCGCGTATAGAAGACGCATTTGATAGATTTTAGAAATTCTTCCGTGGCAATCGGATTTATACAAACGAGACATAAAAGCCACGACAATTCCTCCTACCGTCCACCCATCACACCGGACAAGAATATCATGTTTGCCTAGGAGTTTAGAGGTCAGCACTCAGACACCAGCCTTGTATTGCAGAAGGATTCTTCATTTCATCATATTTGAGACTACAACTTGCGAAATATCAATTTATTGAACGCCCCCGGACTACCTCGAAAATGCGTTACCAAGAATACCTGGATGCTTACAACAGCCCCGATGAAAGCGTCAAATCACAATTTTACGCCGAGGACTGCCAGTTCCAATTCGGCGACTTGAAAATATCTGGAAGAGAACCAATGTTGGCCATGTTTGCTAAGGGTCACGTGGGCGTCAAAGAAGAGTTGCGACCAATTCATGTGCTGGAAAGCGATAACCACATCCTGGCCGAAATCGATGCGTGCTTCATGCCCTTCAAAGACACGCCGAATAACTCATTTCACCCCTTCAAGAAACATCAGCCAATTTCATTCCGATTCTTCGCCTCGTACGAGATACGCGACAATCAGATTCACTCAATCCGGCTGGCGCACTGGCCTCAGCCGACGGTTATCAAGCCGTTCTGAATGAATGCGGCGGAGACTCCTCATAAGGACGTTTGCTGAGAATAGCCAGGCAGTGCTCGCTACGTAGTTCCCATGCTGGACCGTAGTTCAAAATAAGAAGGAAGTTGGGTAATAGCTCCAATAATAATCCACGAATTTCAAGTACTTGAGAGTCCGCAGAAACATCAAGTCCAGGTCACACGTGTGGTGTGAAGCCACAATCACAACACCTTGTTTGCGAACGCCCCGTGTCATGTGTCATGATACATCACGCAAACTAGATTTCGTGCGTCCGAGACCAAAAGTAGGACGGGCGTAATTAGGGACCTGAGGTGGCCGTGAAATTTGAATCCGTCCACCGTCATCACGTAACCTACCTAAGGTATTTTACTTAGGTATCACTGGCGGCCGACGTTTACGCGTGAGGATTCATCCAATTTGTTGGAAGTAAAGCCTCAATCCTACGGATAATATCTGTTGATCAGCAGTAAGACTTAAGTAGGCTATCTAGTACCTAATCGGAAAATTCAGTGACGATCACCTGAAGGGAGTCCTGAATACTTTTGCCCGGGAGTTCGTGAGGTACTGGTGTCTTAGACTCAAAACCGGAAGTTGTGACATTACTCTTGGCTACAGCCACTCAGCAAAATGCCAAGGCTCAGCTGAGTTCAACTTTACGAGAAGCGAACGTGCCACAGATTGCTTTGGGTGGACGAAGGGAGTGCACCGCTGATCACGCTCCATATCCGTTTCCGATTACCGCTCTCCAGCCCAATTTAGCCTGGCTGTGGAATTTGAAGCGGTGTTGCTCATGGTTCTTTTACTTATGGCCATGTATTACGCCCAAGCCATTGCTCATTATTCTTCGATGATGAATTACCGGCTTTCCGCTCGATTTCACCTTTGCTCACCTAAGGGAGACTCGATTTTCTACAGCTTACTGAAAGACTTCAAGTATTCATATTTCATCGCGAACTTCGCCCTCTCAAGTATGCATGACAGGGGAACATGCGAAAAAAAGGTTAAGATACTCGAGGCTACTTGTGTCACGGTGGCTCGGTACCCTGTAGCGCGTGCTCTATATTTGGACCCGAGCTATCAGCAACGGCCCGTTCTCGGAAATGATTATTTGCGGGGAAGTTCCTCCCTACGAAGGAGGCTTTCTTCTGTAAGACAGAATGCGCTAGCACTGCTCAATCCTGTAAAGATCATCGGAACGGTATGTGAGGGCAGACACTGAAAACAACATGGCAGTGCTGGCCAAGTACGCCCATGCTTCGTATCCGCCGAAGTTGTCTGGTTGCGGGAATCGGCAGCGCCTCCCCGGAACTTTTCCCAGATGACGATGGTACAAGTTCTTGGTAATGTGTTAGTGCCGCTCGAGTCTGCCAAATGAGCGAACTTGCAACGGGCTGCGGGCCTCGAGTAATATCTACGTCGTGAACTTATGGCATGTCTCAGTAGCATCGCACAGTAGAACGTTCACGTGGGTTGTCCAAAAGACAACTTGGCACTTGATCTCACATTACTTAAAGAGGGAGAGGGTTCATACCGACGGCCTCAACGACACCTTCTCATAGCAAAAACTCACCCCAACGTTCAATCCAAGACCAACAGCTATCATGAGAGCCTTTTCGAAACGCGTTGCAATCATCGCGATGGCAGTGTAAGTATAACTACATGTCCAAGAATAAGCAAAGCTTAGCTGATAAATCTTCATCAGACTTGCCACGGCTGAAACACAAGCCAACGCGGTCTACTGTCCAACAGTGACGTCGACTGGCACCATCTGTCCCACATTCGTCCAAATGGCATGTCTTGCCTTGTCTACTATCTCCAGCCGTTGCGGATGTCCATCGAAAGTTCCAACCAAGTCGGTTGACTATCCCTGCGGCGAAAAGGGACCGGCTGGCTGCATGGGAACTTCGTATATCTACGAGACCGCAACTCCCAACTGTGGGGTGGCCACTCTCACCACCAAGACTATATCGACAATTGCACCGACTCCTACTGACATCGGCCTCGGGGCATGTCCAACGGTCTATTCAACCGCAACAATATGCCCCAACTGTATACGGCCTATGTGTGTGCAGTTGTCGAGAATCTCCCAGCTGTGCCATTGTCCAACTCCAGTGCCCACCGTCGCCGTAAGCTTCGAATGCCCTGATTGCCCCAAGGGCTGTGGCACCTACTACGAGTACGCAACTGCCACGCCGGATTGTGCCCCGACTGCTTAATTCAAGAGAGTAAGGGATTCGCGGATTATAAGGAGCAATTGGGGATGAGATATCAGTGCGTCACGACTGGAAGGCAGCGCTTGAATAGCGCATTTGGGTAATTACTGTATGCCAAAAGTGCATCAAAACCGTCATGGTTTACATCAGAAAGACAGATCAGTACTAAATGAAGATTGAAGTTATAAAAGATTCTTTATCTTTTAGTATCTACAAAGTAGCCTACAAACATCTGAAGATGTTTTCCAAATGTACAGCATTACGCTCCAATTCCCCATAAATCATCATACTTCATCAATCAAAAACGCATTACGCGCGACATGCGCCGGAACTGTTGAGGAACAGTCTGAGGCTCAACGCTCGTCAGAGTAGGGATGACCGGAATGGCCAGCCCTGTGTCGGCGTTGAAATACAGATGGTCAATGGTGGTCTCGCGTCTGTAACCGCCACCACCGGGGATACCGAAGCGGTGGTAGACAATGTACCAGTCGTCGGTGCCTGGGACGTTGAGAATGGAGTTGTGGCCGGTGCCGAGGATACCTTGGGATGTATCCTTCTGCAAGATGACGCCTTGGTATGTCCAAGGACCGTTGAAAGTCTTGGAGGTAGCGTAACCAACACGGTAGTTCTCAGATCCGGTATCGTCAATGGAGTAGGTGAGGTGGTAGAGACCCTCGCGGTAAACCATGAAAAGACCCTCTCGGAAGTCGACAAGGCCAGTCATAGGTTGGACGGTGTCCCAATTGACGGAGACCATATCGTCGTTCAGCTCTGCCACGAGAGGGCTGCCATTGCCCCAGTAAATGTAGTACTTGCCAGATACCGTATCGTGGAAAGCCGCCGGGTCGATAGCCTGCCCTGTGGTGACGGCCTCATTGTTGAGGATCATGGCCTCCGGCTGAGCAGTGAAAGGCCCCTCGGGGGAGTCGGCTACGGCGACGCCAATCGTCTTCCTGTTCAGAGCTGCATTCTGGCCGCTGAAGTAGAAGTAGTACTTTCCGTCACGCCCGGCGATAGTAGGAGCCCAAGCATTACCGGTCGCCCAGGGAACATTGCCGTTGGCTCCATCGAGGGTGAGGAAGGGTTCCTCACTGCGAGTCCAGGTGACGAGATCGGTAGACTTCCAGGAGTAGAATGTGTTTCCACCCCAGCCCGGAACTCCGTCAGTGGTGACATAGATGTAGTAGACGCCGTTGAAGACCGCGACGTTGGGGTCGGCGTAGAGGCCGGGCAGGACGGGGCTACCCATCTCCACGGCGCTAATGGTCCACTCTCCGACAACTTCGTCACCCTTGGACAGCACATACTTCACCGGTGCACTCAGGTCGACAGTTGAGCCAGATGCAGGAGATGAGGTTACACCCTCGGTCGTCGTGAAGACAGGGGCAAGAGTGGTAACGTCGGTGCCCGGCACAACAGGGAACAAGACTTTGAAGTCAGTGGTATTGATGATGGCGGGTACCTTCAAGGCGGAGGCATCGGAAAGAGAAACTTCGGTGATGGCGCCGACGTTTCCAGAGCGAGAGAGAACCTCGGCAGCGGTCAAGGACCTGTTGAAAATCGCAAACTCGCGAACCTGGCCCTTGAAGAGCTTATCGCTGGAGTAGACAGACTTGCCGATGTAGTTGGCCGTTGTGACGCCGTTGCCGATGTTCTCAGGATCGATGTTGACATCCTCATTTCGAGCAACTTCATATCCATTCAGGTAAATGACGGAGGTGCGGCCCGAGATAGTGTAGACAAGGTGCAGCCAAGATCCCGTGGGAAGAGAGGAGCTGGAAGCTGCTGAATTCTCACCCGTCCAGTTGCCGGTAGTAATGCTAGCTCTGTAAGGACTTCCGGTGGTGAAGAGATATCCGTTTCCGTTGCCATCGGCAGCAGTGTTGCCAATGCCGTAGATGAAGTAAGGCGTTGTCTGAGAAGCATCAAGCAAGACTTGAACCTCGATCGCAACGTCCTCGACGCCCGACAAGATGTTATTGGGAAGCTTGACGAAGTCATCAACACCGTCAAAGGTGAGAGCACCATCCACAACAGTAGCACCACCATTGATCACAGCGTTGTTACCATTTCCAGAAGCATCTTGGAGCGTCGTGCCATCAACAGCTGAGAAGTCGTAGCGGAGAATTTCGCCATCAGCTTCGACAGCTCTGCGTGTGGCCGATGCTTCAGTCAAGGAAGCAAGCTCGACCGCGGTGACGGGAATGACAGTTCCGTGACGCGGGCTGGCCGGCAAGCTGTAGGATGCTGAGACTACCCAGTCAGGGTTGCCAATGTCGGCAGTCTCCAGGGGGATATAGCCACGGCCGCCGTACTCATCAACAAAGAGGTAGAACTTCTCGCCGTGGACGTCGTCCGGGTTCGATTTGAAGGCAGTCGGGCCCTCGACAGCGCTGGTACCAGCCTTCTTGCCGATGCAGGAGTCGATGATGGTCCATGAATCCAGGGTAGCGCGAAGAGACGTAGAGCTCTCTTGGATGATATCACTACATCCAGTACCGCTAGCACCTTCGTCCTTTGTGAAGCGGTAGTAGATATCGGCCGATTTGATGACGGTCGAGTCAATTCTCGACATGCCGGCATCCTGCCAGACAGAAGTCTCGGAAAAGGTTACAAAGTCGCGAGTGGTTGCGTAAAGCATGCGGTGGTAGGTGCTGCCAGTACGGTTGACATCGCTGTCCTCGTAGAGAGATGATGCCCAGAATACTAGATAGGCACCAAGGTCGTCGTCATAGTAGGCCTCGGGAGCCCATGTGTTTCCTGCTTCAGGAGGGGAAACTAATACATGTCGCTGCGCTGACCAGGTCTTGAGATCGTTGGATTCCCAAACCTCGAGGTACCGACTACCGATGCGCACTGAATCACCCCAAGATGTGCCGGAGCCAATGGAGAGATCGGTGGCGATGACATAGAAGGTATCACCCTCGGGGGACCTGATGAGGAATGGGTCGCGAAGACCCTTGGTGCCGTATGTAGAGGTCAAGACGGGCTGACCTCCGTTGAGCTCGGTCCACTGCAGAGCATCGTTGCCCTGACTAGCAGCAAAGTAGATCTTCTCTCCAGCAATGGAGTTTCCAGTGAAGTAAGAGAACGCGTAGCCCGCAAAGGGGTCAAGAGCCACGGCTTTGCGGACGGAAGCGACCAGCTCTCGAGTCTGAGAGCTGCCTTCGGAGTCAATGGAAGCGGTGAGGGCCACATGGGTATCCTCGGCCTGTCTTACGACAATACCACTGCTTGAGATAACCGAGGAAGAGTTGCTTGCCCAGGTGACATTGAGGCCGTCAATGGTGGCGGGTAGGTACAAGTTGCCACGGACATCGGCAAGGTTGGTGACGGTGATAGCGGCCAGAGCCGCCTCAACCTTTGCGGTGTTGTCGTCTTGGCCTCTCACAGTCGCCGCGAGGGCGAGTGCGGAGGAGAGCCAGAAATGAAGCAGTTGCATGGCTGGAATTCGCTCAGAGAGCCACAAGTCGTCACCTTAGACCTCAAGCCGGAGCCCGTATCACAGAAACTCTCTCTCGCTTTATATATGTAGCGTTCCTACCGTCCGGCCCCGACATACGCAGGTGCGGGATGATCTCCCACATCGCTGGGTCAGGACAAGACGAACCGTCCGAGACTTTGGCCGGCCGGCTTAGGTAGCACTGTGATGGATATTGCGCCCATAAACAGCCCAATGGCCGATCATTGCCTCTTGCTCTTACGCAAGCCCCATGCTAGTAACGGAAGATTTGCAAGTTCACGTACGAGGAGCAAGCGCAGCAGTAAAGGCAAAGCATCGTGGGACGGTTACACCGATGCCCAACGGGAACTTGCGGTAGTCTCACTAGCTACCCCGAATACACTTGTTTCTCCGCACTTTGAATACCCCACAATCTCCAAAGACAGCCGGTGATGATGCGCATCCCGGCTGTATCCCATCGAGTGCCAATTGGCAACAGGTACATGCCCTTGAGGGGAACTGACCACTCAGGAGACAGCCAAGACTTCTTCTAGCCAACCAAAAAGCCTAGATTATGGATACTTCTGTTGTCTATATACTCTGACTATGAAAGAGGTACCAGCAATCATCCGAGTTACAAAGCGCTACTCCACACTGCAGGCACCCTGACCTCGTCTTTTTTCTGTGGGATCGTGAGTGTTGTTGAACAGGGCCTCGTACTGCGGCTTCATTGGTCCACTGTACCCACGATTCAACCAGCCTCAAAGGCACATACTGCTGAAAAAGCTCTAAAGGGGTAGTAGATAGACCCCGTACTGTTGCGGCGCGGTAGGGCACGTCGAGGGGGTTGAATTGGCCCGGTGTGCCCCTTTCTAGCGGAGGCGATTCGTGTGGGCGTACAGTTGCGTTATCACACCTCTCGGGCCTACATTGAGCTGTACAGGCGCTATCAAGGTCTTCGGGAAGTACTGCGACGGTGATATGTGAAAGCGCTGACGAATCAGACGCATCAGAGTCGCTTGAGGACATCGCGACGGTTGCCCATCTGTAGAAATGTTAGTTGTGGTGGTGAACGCAGCTGGGAAAATATAGGGGTTGATGACGTACCGTCATGTATTCCCGCGGTGAGGGGGCAAAACTGGGTCAAAACTGGGCATAATGTACCTGTTGCCAATTGGCACTCGATGGGATATGGCTGGTTTGCGGGGAAGTCGCAGCCGGTGAGGAGACTAGAAGACGATGCGCCCGAGTCAGGCAGCTCGGCGGTGCTCAGGTGACTGAGTGTAAACAAGACACAGTCAGGCCAGGCTCGTTGAGTACATACTTCTTCAACTTCATGTCGACATTAGGTTGAAGTAACATGTTGTATGAAAGTGACCTTGGCTGGAAGCCGTTGCGGATATGACGTCGAGCAAGGATGTGCCTGTTCTTGTCTCCAAATCGGGCACAGTTGTCACAAGCAAGGTGCCCTTGATCGTGGTTGTACTTGCCATGGAGAATCTTCCAGATGCGGTCAGATTCTTTCACGTGCCCTCCAAGGATTGTGCAATACAATCTCGTATTTATCGGCAATGGGCTGCTGGGTAGGGGGAAGAAAGTTGGAAGCGGACGATGGTTGGGTGATTCGAGCAGGGAAGAGCTGTTCGTGACTTCGCAGAAATGATGTACCGAGGTAAACTTACCACGCGCTCGAATCAAATTGCACCCGATGTTACTATTTAGGCAAGTCGCCGCCCCGCAACTCGTCCAAACCTTGACTTAGACCAGGTAGCGCTCGGGCCGAAGCTGCGCGATGTTATCATCAGACCAAATGAAGTGTGAGTTATTTTCTCACGGCCTAGAAAGTCTCGGAGCCTTGCCAGAAAGTTGTTCCTCGCCAAGTAGACACTTGATCGTAGAAATATACGCAAAGAATTGACAAGTAAGGTAGATGGGTAGACCTGCTGTGGTCCTCTGATCAAATGTTCAGGAATCGGGTACTTCACTCCACGAGTCCACATCCACACTTGCACTGATCCTGATCATGTGAGCACGTCTCTTAAGATCTTCCTTGTGTAATCTCATCCAAAGCGTCTACGTGTGAGGTTTGATGATACCGAGGTCTAGAGGCATGCATGTGGCTGATGATGACTCGAAGGCATCTGGTGTTCTAGGCCTTAGTCACTCGAGTTGACTGAGAGTATCGTGAAATTGCCAGAATTGGCTCAGTGGTAGACGAGATGGTCACCCGCTTGTCGGATTCGCTCGTGCGCAGGTTTAGCAGCTTCCGTTGGAAAGCTGTGAGAGAAGAAATTTGGCACGATGAAGAAGACATGTACATTCTAGGCTCTTTGAAAGCATTGTAATCATAGAATTTCAAGGTAACATCGAAAGATATTGTGCGGCGACAACACCACAGCCGTGATACAAGCTCCGCCATCGTTTCTACATTTCTCGAGGAAAATCTAACCCATGAGACTTCAACTAGTCGTAGTGACACCCACTGTCGCAACATTCACCTCCACCACCTCCACCTCCGCCAGCGTCGAATGGAGTCATCATCATCAACATCGCGCTGTAGTTCGCATTTCGCTGCATCATGTCACTATAACTCGAGTTTGAATGCTTATAAGCGACGCTGCATTCTTTCCGCCCGGCCTCGCGAGCTTCCGCTCTGGCCTGCTTTGCTTTGGCCTTTTCCAGTGTTTTTGCTTCTTTCTTGATCGCGGCTTCCTGACGTTGCTCGAGTTTCTCAATCGGAAGGCTTTTCTTCGAGTGTGCCAAAGTCTTGAAGCTTTTGATCAAAGTCTTTAGTCTAGTAGAACCTTGAGACTTTTGCGTATCGGTTGTCTGATTCGCCATGATGAAAGTTAAAGTAGTGACTGAAAGGTTGACTTGGGTGGATTTTTGGAGTAGAAGTTCTAAGTAGGTCTGAGTGATATGGCTCTTGAGTCCTGTTTATGATGAGATTTGTAATGGGGTTGATAATGAGACTGATGATAAAGTTGATGAAGACGTTCATGATGAGATCAATGAAGATTTTGATGAAGAATTTGGTGAGTGTAACGGCTCGCTCTCCATGTGACGATGGTCTTTTATACATGAGAAACAACGGCCATCGCTGTATAATCCGTCGCCCATGTCATCATTTCGGCTCGTCCGCTTGATGCTGCTTGAAAGGTGCCTGAACCGTGATCACCTGACAGTGATATGGCCAGTGAGGTTCTGGACAAAGAGGTTCGTTGATATTGTTTTTCGGCAACAGCCGATAGGTCTAGATCAGATCCGGGGTCCCAGGCATTTCTAAACCCTAAAATCAAATAGGCTTTGTTTAAGAGAACGATTGGTTCGAGCCATTTGAGTTACGCATGGTTCAGCGCATGAGATAAGCTTTAGGGGCATCATCCATCATGCTGGCCTAATTAGCATTATGCTCATAGGGAAAGCTGAGGATACCACGTTTCTCTCAGCCCAATGCTATTAGACAGCCACATTATATTTGCTCGGGGTAGAAGAGCTGTAGCAACTTCAGCACTACAACTTTCACGACCTTTCTTCAAGTTACACCTTATACCTGCTCTAGTTTAGAATTGATCGGTCACAAGTTGATGTTATGATTACCTAGGCTGTTACTGCCTTAAGCTTTGGTTGGTCCCATTGCTGCTTCGAGGGCGACAACTAAGGAGTTCAAACGGCATCGATGGCCGGCAGAGGCGGACATGACTAAGAACCACCAAGATATCAGGTATGGATGGACGAGATAGTGACGTAATTTCACTTCTTTGTATGAGTAACGTTGACCTTCTTGATTACCAAATTGGGATCGACATGACTCTCCTCGCGTCGACTGAGGTCAGGCGATTACCGTGCCGAGGGCCTTTAAGAAGCCACACATAAAATACACGGATAGATCTCAAAGTACTCAAGGTTCTCACTTTATTCAGTCGATCAGCTGTGTTACCCAATGAAGGTCGGCAAAGATGGTCGTTCCTCATTCAACATCAAGCTAAATATGTGCGTAGCGACCATGGTCCGCAATGTGAGATGATATGTACAAGAATTTCTGGCCAAAAGTTCTGATTTGAGAAGAAAATACGGTCCAGGGTTGGTGGCGTGTCTGAGAGACCCGTGTGGACTCTCGGCGGATGCCGTGCGGCTTGCGGTAGATCGTAAAGGTACCTTATCCGGAGCAAACACCTGACTTGGTGGGCTCGCAGCCACCGGCACACCCGTTGTACATCTGGCACGGGACCTTGGCGTCGGTGCAGACGTTCTTGAGAGTGGCGGTGTCGCCGTAGTTGGAGTTGATGCCAACCACTTCGCCACCGTTGTAGGCGGTCGTGCCCTCGACGTACACGTTGCGCTTGCACTGGCTGCTGCACTAGTTTGGAGAAGGCGGGTCAGCATGATCGATCTCCTAAGTCTTGGGGAAGTGGAAGCAATAACTTACGTTGCCGCAAGAGCGATAGACCTTGCCGTAGCTAGTTCATTATTAGTTTGGTTCTGCCTTTCATCACACATAGAGATAACTCACTCATTCGCGTCTGTGTGTCAAAAGTGTGGTTAGCGGTGTATTTCTAGGGAATGGAAATAGCACTGTTTTATAATAACTCACAGAAGTTAATGATGTTCACGGTGCCGCAACCGTTATGTTGAACAATCTTGTCGCTGGCCTTGTAGGCACCGCCGCCAATGATCCAGGTGTGGTCGCCAGCCTTGTCGTTTTTCTGCATTGGGTGTCAACTAGGCTGGTGATAGAGAAGGCTTCTAGGTTGTTGGGCACTTGCAACAGTGATGGCATCCTCGCAGACATCCTCGAACCACACAAACTCGAGAGTGCAAGCGCCGTCACAGTGGACACCCTCCTTCTGGTTCTTGCCGATGATGGCATTCTTCAGAGTTGCACCCTTTCGGAGAATGAAGACAGCATCAGCGTCACCTAAGCGGTTCTGTCAGTTCCCGATTCCAACTCAGGCTTGTCATGGCCTAGATAGCTTACCTCCTTCACCACTGGTGCAAGCACCAGACCCACGGTCGAATCTGGCCCAGCCACCGTCGTAAACAGCGCCAGCGAGAACCTCAATGTACTTGCTGTTAGTCTTGGTGGAAGTTGCAGTGGGAACACCGCCCTCGTATCCGAGACAGGCGAGGGTGCTGGGTACGGCCGCCAGCAAAGCCACGATGCCAGCCTTGGAGAAGTACATGATGGCTAAAACCTAGTTGATCACAATGCTGGAAGGTGGAAGTATAGCCGATCGTGGTCTAGATGGAATGTTCTTGCTTAGTGAAGGTTCTAAGACTCTACCCGATATGACAACATCGGACGATTAGCTCGCGTTATATAGAAGACTTAAGCTGGTTCTTCTTTGTCAATTCTCACAGAGTCCGAGTCAAGACAAACAAACAAGCTTAAGATATTATGCATCCTCGATTGGTGGACTTACCGTGAAGGATTCTGACTCCTCGAAGCCTCACAAACGGGATCCAACATCCTGTCCGAATCTGTCACGAGTTATGGCACGCAGCAATGGGCATATGAAGTGTGGTAAAAGTGGCTTGTATTAACCCAAATAGAATCGAGCAAGGAAAGGTGCTATAGGAACAAATGAGAGAATCACGTGAACACGCACGTGATGGGCTGATTATAGAGTGCTGATGCTATTCCTATTTCGTGACAGAATCCTACGCTGAGGAAAAACCACAGTCAACAGAAACAGGAGATTCTATAGGCGATCCAATCATGTTCACAACTCCACGGGCAACTGTTGCGATTTCAAGGCACAGAGATATGGCTGAAGGGGTAAGCCAAAGGAGCGGATGCGAAATAGGAAGGACTCTTGAGCTATTTCCCCTTCAATGGCAGTTTGCAGCCGCTGGCCCTTGTTTCAGTGTGGTATTATAGAGCATTCAACTTGCGTTGCCAAGATCTAATCAGAATTCTGCCATGCCATTTGATCAAAGGTCACATTATCTGCTTGATAGTGCCAAGAACAACCATGTGGACGGAGAAATTGCTCACTACCGTGCGCCCCGGTCCGGGTCCCCGGTCCTGCAGAATCCCCCAGTCAGAGCTCCTCAAAATCTGTTCCGTTCGGAGCCCTTTACTGGGGCCGTATCGCGGGCATGTCACCGCATCCCGTCGGGGCATTCAGGAACCCCGCCATTCAGTGGCTTTTGGTGACTGGTCTACCATTTCCAAGCAAGGGCATGTTCGCCTGAACTGCCAATATTGTACTGTGGCGCCCGAAGACTTGCATAGTGTACCCAGTCAGGTGAAGCAGGTTATCTGCAAGGTGCGGACTTCTTCTTTGTCATCTATCACTGAATGCCATCCGGCATGGAGCCATGAGCCCAATTGTTCCAACTGTGGCGCTTGTTTCATGCACTCCGCTCGGGGTTGATAAGTGCCGGCAGATATTGGTTGCACCAACAGCGGGCCTATGGAATTGAAAAATTGGCGTCGGCTGCTGAGCGGCCAAGCCTTCTCCCGTTGAGAGTATGAAGGCCGGAAACAAATATCGCGCAAGTTGCCTCCATGAAGACCAGGCGACTTTACAGTGTTTGCAACCAAAACCTTTCTAGGCGCTCACTGCATCAACTAAGTTATCCAGTTTGTGGTGATAACGTTCCTACACATACGGTACTGACAAGCCCTTTGATTCCACTTGACTTGGTCACCTTTGAGACCAAATTATTAAGCATCATACTTTCGAATTTCCTTCGGTCACTTCACTGTTATATGCTCAGGATCAAGGCCACCAAACCCAACCAAGAACCATTCTGACGAACCCTGATTCTGCAGCAATCTCAGCACGTCTCGACTCCCATAAGTCTTGAATTGGCTGTGCTAACCGCCGAGGAAAGACTTGGTGAAGCTCAGTGGCGCTCATTATACATGATGGGTGAGCTCTGTGCTGGAGAAGAGTCATTGCCACCTGTGCTAGTAGTTCAAGGTGGGGTAGAGACGCGTCAACTCGATTGTCCGGTTCCTCGGTCAGTGCAACTGCAACCCGTCCCAGCTCAGGAATGCTCAGAGGAGCAGCCATCTTGCGGATGTTCGCGAAGAAGACCTTGGATATCGTGCTTCCTTGGTATGGCGCATTGAAATTCGCGTCATGCCGTAATAACCTTCTCAACATGCTGACGTACACATCTGATACTCTCTTCTCCAACGGCTGCTTGGACAGATGATATAGTCCATCCACAAACTTGCCCCATCTGGCCTCTGTGGCTGATGTTTCATTGACCTCGGCGCCGTGGCTGATGAGGTGATCCAGAACCCGTTTTTGCCTGGTGGCCCATATGTAGTTCATCCCATACTCTGCTGCCATGGACACACTGAGAATCTCCAACCAATCACCCCATATAGAGCCTTTCTTATTGGTGAGAAAGTCTTTAGGTTCCATCTTGTATGCACCCCGTACCCTAGCGACATTGCTATTGCTATTTCCATGATGGCCAGTCTGAGGTGTTTGGAACATCAGGGCCGTGTAGTCACTGGCCCTGGCCAGACTATTCCATGTCTCTCTCTTAACTTCCTGTGCCTGGGCACCCTGATGAGGATTTGAGCCTCGGCGGAGGAACAAGGATACGACTTGGGTGAGATCTGGGCTGGTCTCATTGATGGGCTCGAGGCTTTCCATGATTGCCTCTCTCAGGAAAGCACCGTTGATGATGTCTCGGGCTCCAGGGCTACATTCCCGGTGTTGCGAGAGATACTGAGTCAATCCTCGGGAAATGGCGAATTCGACGAAGCAGTCTGGCCTCCATGGGATCTCGGCATCGAGAGGGTCGGCCATTTCCTCCACGACGTAGCGGAGATCATCCACCAACTCGGATTCGGACGAGCCCGATTCCGCCTCGGCCTGGTAGGCGTAAAAGAAGGCTTCTTCCAGTGCCCGAGAAAGCACCCCAGAACGCTGGAAGTGTTCTTTTCGAACGGGCATAAATTTTATCAGTGCAACGTACGCTCTGAAGATAACCGTATTCGGTTTGAATTCCGAGAGGCTCTCAGCGAGGAATTCGGCCATTTCTTTTGTGAGGAGAAAATCACGAACTGTGCGGTGAAGAAAGGTCACTCGCGGACCCAGATAATCGCTCGCAGCATGGTCAGCTTGAACCTCAAGCAGGCCCTTGCTGCGGCCGTCGAGTCGGCGAATCATTTGCTTCCGCCTGGTGAAGACATCGTGTTTGTCCATTGGTTCAACGGGAAGACGTAAGACCTGAGAGAGGTCCTGCGTGCAATAGTCTGTCAGGGAATACAGCATAATGTTAAGTGGCTCTTCGGCCTGCAATGCGATGTGGAACATTTGCGCCATTTGGGGGTGGTAAAATGGATCGATGGAGTTGAGGATGTGCTTGAAAAAGGTCTCGAGATCCTGGGGAAGTTGGCTTATTCGTCGTCGTAGGGTTGACACACCATCGCCGTTAGTTACACTTTCGTGGACGGAACGGACAACCAGAAATACCCATAGAAATACTCCCTGGGCCTTTTTGGTAATCTCCTCCACAAGAGTGTGTTCAGCTTTCGAGTATTCTCCCCAATTGGGGTGTTCTTTGAGCATACTCTCTGTGTAGCGTCGGATGTCGTCTTGAGTCAAATCTTGGAGGGCTAATTTCCACAAGCTCGATTTGCCATAAGCATCTTCAAACACATTCCACGGCCGGCTTGAAACACAAAGCTTAACATTTGGTGACGACGCAAGCCGAGAAAGGATCTGGATCAGTTTCTGGTGGTCCCCGTCGTACTCATCCAGCCCGTCGATAAAAAAGCAGAAGCGCAAGGCCAACTTGTCGCAATCGACCATTTGATTCACTATTCGTTCCAACTCGAAGATTGACCAGTCCCGGCCATCCTCGCCCGATTGGAGACGGTACTCGTTTTGGCCAGGCCCCTCGGGCAAGATTCTGTCGATTAGGTCAGGCATTTGGCGGAAAATCTCGTAAAGCAGTGATCTCAGCAGCCCGTTGATAGACTTTTGCAGCCGCGTACCGGCGCTCCAGAAGTAATGGCGCGCGACGATGCACTCCTAGGGCTCGGCCCATGTGGAGAGAAGCTCCGCTGTGCGCGAGTGATCTCCAAGATGCTTCATAAGAGTAGACTTGCCGGAGCCTGCTTTGCCAGATATCCAATAAATTCCCTTGCCTAACTCGAGCCAGTCTGTGAGATTGCTGACGTGAACTGCTGCCGCTCGCTGCAAACCTGTACGGCCGAACACCCAGTTGAATGTCTTCTGATGTGCCTCAGCTATGCCGTGGTGACGAGCCGGCATCGATCGAAAGTACAGTCCCCGAAGAAATGTCTGTTGGAAGGAAACGTCTCTTGCACTGGTAGTTAGGTTTACGAGCTTCTCGTGCAGTTGATGGAAGTCTTGATGAGAAGAGACACTGGCGTCTGATGGAGACTCATTCGAGACGGAAGACTTGTATGTGATGCTTTGGATAGCTGCAGATATTTCCTCGAGCTTACCTGAGTGATTCGATTGCATCGACAGAGTGGCTTCCTTCAGCGTCCTAAGTTCGCGCAGCACGCTCGATTGCTGGTTGCTATACAGATGTAAGTAACTTTTGATGAGAAGGTAATAGTACGTAGAGGACGCCAAAGACATGTGCCCACCTCGTGATGGCGACAAGATGTGTCATGAGCTCCTGCCGATACTCCTTGAGCCTCGCCTCTACATCGTCGACTTTGCGCTTGCCCCAAGCCGCCCTCAAGGCTTGTTTTAAACTAGCAACCCGCCCGCCGGGCGTGCAGTACAGGCTCTTCAGAAGGCTCTGTAGCTCCAAAGCTGTGTTCCTGCATTTTTCCGCAAGCTTGCGCAGTGCCACCTCTTCGTCGATCCTTTTTGTCGGTTCGCCCGCAAGGTCGGCGGCTTCGTCAATGTCGTCCACCAGGAAACGGAGGTCTGAGCAGATCTCATCCAGGGTCTCGTGCTCCTTCGTGCGCCCATCGGTGGATACGTATATCTCACGGCTGTTAGAGACCAGCTTCGCTCCAAACTCGACAAATTGTATAATGGCGGCCGCTAACCCGAGCGCTGTGAATGGATCCATTGAATGCGACTTCGGAAGATCCCAGGAGTGTGTTTCGATCGCAGAACCTCACGGTATCAGGAGCGGGGTGGTTGTCAGATTTATACTCGCCTCGTCACACGAACAGACGAGGCTGTCCCTGGTTGCCTTCATTTGGCGCACCAGATATGAAATGTGTACCCGCATAGGCGGCCTCATGGTCGACTGCAACGGTCTCAGACACCATCATCCTACCGTCTCACCCGCCTTTTCTCCAAGGACTATAAAGCAAGTCAAGCTTCAACTGGACAAATGAATTCAGCGTCTCTGTCTGATTGGCGTTTACCCCGCATAGCTTGTACTTTGGACATGTTGCTGTTGATGAGATAGGTATGCATGTAAGTCGAGGTCGGGTAAGCGTCAGTCAAAGATTTGTGCCCAACCGATTCCATGCAAGGCCACCTCCTCCACGCAGTATTGATACAGGTAATTACTGCTTACCTTTTTCATCTTTAACGGTTAATAAACTCGCTTGGAATTTGGTTAGCTTTTCTTCCATCTCTTAAGCATTCCTGAGACTGGATACATTAGGAAGTATTCGAACTACCGGCAACCCGAACGTCCAGGTAATACTTGGGAGACTATTAGTATTGCTTCTAATTTGTTCCAATTCTCGCAATCCCATTTGGCTAGTTGGCTCTGGCGAGGAAAATCACGTCATCGTGCTCAGCTTACCTGATCATGCTGATAGGACCCAATCATTGATGCAAGTACAATATGTCGAAGGATTGTTGCGCTAAAGCGCGCCCTTCCAAAGTCCCAAGACGACCTCGAATTACTAATAGGAACTTTTGAGTGAAGTCAGCTTTGTCGCTCTTAAAAGTGACCGGGATCCGAAGACTTCATATCTCAAGGTCCCTGCCAGGCAAAGCTTGTTTTCCGCCCATGGCTTCCCACTACTCCCAAGGGTACCTCAACGAATTCCTACCAATCATCATGTCTGAGCAACCCACAAAGATCAAAGCAGTCTTCTTCGACTTCATGGGAACTTGCCTGAACTGGCATGCCAGTGTAGTCAAGGCCTTGCCCGCGACCATTCCAGAGGACGAAGCGTCAAAGTTCGCCCTCGAATGGCGCAGACAATATTTCATCGAGAACGCAAACCGGCATGCGAAAGGTCTCGAGCCTGAGGACATTGACATCACGTTCGCGCGGGTCCTCGACAACCTTTTGAACCAGTCTCCCGTGTACGCCAACCACTTCAACGCCGAGATCAAGACTGAGTTGATCAAAGCATGGCACTCGCAGCCTGCCTGGCCAGAAGTCTCAAAGGCCATTGAGAGCCTGCGGAACGATCTCGGCCTTGAAGTGTTTGTGCATGCCAACGGCACGACTCGCCTGCAGCTGGATCTCGTTCGGTTTTCAGGGCTCAGCTTCAACATGCTCTTCTCCAGTCAGCTTTTGGGTGTTTACAAGCCTAGCCCCATTGCGTATGAAAAGGCGTTGCAGCTTGTTAAGCTCAAGCCTGAGGAAGTGGTGCTGGTTGCGGCGCACGCCTATGATTTGCGAGGGGCGCAGAAGGTTGGGCTGAGAACCATCTATGTTCATCGATGGACTGATGATGTAGATGAGGATATGGAACAGGTTCGGCCCGAGTTTGACGTATTCTTGGACGATATGACAGAGCTGCCCAAGGCAGTCGGGAGCTTGTGATCCTGAAATCAGGTATAAATCTTTTGAGTCTCGCTTAAACAGCACTGCACATCACTCAATGCTACCTCCCTTCATGCTTAGGAAAGACCAAGTGAAGAATCAGAAATATAATTAGTGTAGCTGAGGCAATATGTCGGTCTTCTCTAACACAGGTGATAGTCCTCAAACCGTTGGGTTAGCAACAACATCTGCGATAACAGTGTCCAAATCCTCATCCTCCAGCCCCAAAGTCTTCATAGCGAAGTCATCGCGCTTCGTCCAGTTTGCATCTAATTGCCCAACAGCAAAGACAAGATCCTCAATCGCCTCAGCGTGGCCAGCATCGGCCTTCACCTTGTGTTCCGCAATGAAACTCTCAGACTCGACCATGTTAACAGTCCACTTTGCTCCCGTCGCCTTCTCCAAACTTTGAAGCAGCTCGTTCTGTGTGATGCAAAAGCTCTGAATGAAAAGCGTCTTATTCTTCGTCACCTCGGTAAATCCCAAGTCCAGAATACGCACAACAGCTTCCCCAACTCTCGGCAGCGTCGCGACAGAGGCCTTGATGTTACCGCCGTCAATGACGTCGATCTTCTTGGTATCGAGGTATGCGTGCAAGAAGCCTTCCTTGACACCCCAGTCGAAGAAGTGACCGCAGACGATACCCGTCCACGCGAATTCGGGGTTCTTGTCAGCCAGCTCCTGCGCCTTTTGACGCACCGCGCGTTTCCAGCGATAAAGCGGGATGAGCTCCCTCGCGCGGGGGTTATCGGCGTCGATGCTGCCGAAGTCGGCGGGCATAAAGTGCTTCACGCCCGCTGCGGACGCCGCCTCGGCGATACGCAGGTGCTGGTCGAGGTCGCGCAGGCGGAAGCTGACGATGACGACTTCTTGGCCTGTAAAGGCCTTTTTGAGACCTTCGTAGGAGAGGTCGTTGTCGACTTCGATGACTTGCACTTGGTCGGCGGGGTACGCGATTGTGCTCTTTGAGCCGGCGCGCTTCAGGGCGCTGAGCTTAAAGGATTTGGCGGCGACCAGGGAGTCTAGGATTTTGGCGCCAAGTGTGCCATTGGCGCCGACGAGAAGGACGGATTTCGGTGCCATGATGGGCAATGTCTTGTGTTTATCCCTTGCGTTGTGAAATTCAGAGAAAATGAGCGTTTCTTTGTTGGTTTCGTCAATGATACTTTGACTTCAGATAAGGTACTCAAACTCACAGCTCAAGGGCAATAGGCGACTTGAGCACTGACTCACGTCATCCAGCAGCTTTCGGGATGGCTTACCGAGTCCTTCAGTCTGCCGTCGGGGTGGGGTCCGTAGAGGGCCGGTCTAGGCGGGACATCGAGCAGAACATCCACTGTATCTTCCGAAGAGAGAAGGTTATCGCGGTTCTTAGCAATGATCGTTCGCTTCTGTTAGTGCTCACTGTAACCACTCATCAAAGGCCATGGCGGGGTTCAAGATGTTCAGATTGGGACACTCCCGGCTCCGGGCAACGTAAGATCCACTCACGCCGGGCCGGAGGACGCAGTTAAAGATCATCAAAGTTGGCATCTATGTCTTCGCGGCTTCGCGTTTATATAGTATGTTCTAAAAGAGACCAAAGGGTTCTTGGCGCCCATCTTCATATGATTTCCCCGCAATCTAGCCATCTGTCGTATGGAACTCTCCGTCAAGCTTAACTCCGGGCGCGGTCCCTAGGGCTGAAGCTGTCTCAGGCTAGAAACATGCCGCCGTGCGGAGGAATAAAAGGGCTGGAAGGTTGCTGTTTTTGAATCTGAATTAAACTTCTACATACGATCTCGATATATCAATAGACCAAGTCATCTAAAGTTCTCAGTCATGTCTTCCAAGCGTATCATCCTCGTCACCGGAGCCAACACCGGCATCGGCTACGAAACAGTCAAAGCCCTGCTGCAATCCGACAAGGTGTACCACATGATTATCGGATCCAGGTCCATTGAAAAAGGCGAATCTGCTGTTGCCGAGCTCACTAAGGAATTTCCATCCACCGCGAGCTCTTTGGAGGTTATCCAAGTGGATGTAGCGGATGATGATTCAATCCTCAGTGCTTTCAAGAGTGTCAAGGAGAAGCACGGGCTGCTCGATGTTCTAGTTAACAACGCTGGTAAGTCTTCATCCAGCACAGGATGCCACCATCACACCCTAGAGTAAGTCTGACAACCGACTTGCAGGCGCCTCTCATGATTTTGGACCTCACAACTACAACCCCGAGGACATCAAAGCCATTCGCCAAAACATGAACAAGTCATACGACGTCAACACATCCGGAACCCACGTCATAACCCACGTCTTTGCCCCTCTCCTCATCAAATCCTCCGATCCCCGCCTTCTCTTCGTCACCAGCGGACTATCCACTCTCAACGGCATCGAAAACACCGGCCTCCTCCCGTTTCAACCAGGGACCGTCACGGCTGGCGGTTGGCCCAAACCCTTCACCCCTCAGGCCGGGTACCGGTCTAGCAAGGCTGCGTTGAACATGGTCATGCAGAACTGGCATTGGCTTCTCAAGGCAGACGGAGTCAAGGTGTGGTGCATCTCCCCCGGTTTCTTGGCTACGGGGTTGGGTGGAAATCCGGATTTGCTGAAGAAGATGGGTGCAGGTGAACCGAGCCAGGGAGGCAGCCTGATTAAACAGGTGGTTGAGGGTGAACGGGATGCTGATGTTGGCAAGGTTGTGAACAAGGATGGTATCCAGCCTTGGTAGTCAGGAAGGAAGACTGATTGATACCAAGAGGCCGAGAACATAGCCATGGATAACAAGCAGGGCTTCTTCTTAGAGAACTCTAGGAAAGGCTTGACGTGATATCCAGTACACCGACAATACACCGGATTATCGATGTTGATTCCATCACTTGCCATTGATTTTCTTCCAAGCAAACATTAAGTGATCTACAATCCTTTCCACCCGCTACAGCGGTCGCGACGGCTCGACGTAGTCGCTGTCCATTTTTTCAGGTTCCCAAACATTATCTTCCGGACTGTCTTTGCGGAAGAAAGCGCCAACGACAGCACCCTTTGCTTCTTCAAGATACTCAAACTCTGCCGTCCCCTCTGACGGTCGCCATATCTTGATGCCGTGTCCGTGCAGTCTCATGTAGGTCAACTGCTTGCACTTTGCGGCGACGATCTCGGGCTTGAGGTACTCCACTCTCTTAACTCTCTGAACGGGGGGTCCTCCGGATTCCCTACGTTGATTCTGAACTTGGCATAGTCTATCGAAAGCTTTTTCAAACCCTTCATTTTCGCAAGGATGTCGATCAGACCGTACGGGGCGACCGTGGTGTCGATGGTGAAGCCGAGGGAGGCGATCCAGTGGCAGGGCTCGAGGACTTTGAACATGTCGTGGTTTTCAGGTGCATCCGTACCGTCTCCAAGCCAATTCTGGGGTAGGATGGGCTCTTTAGCACTCAGGGCCTCCGGATGATTAAGCATGTCATCGAGTTCCCTCGAGTAATTTCCCGAGCGAAGAAATGTTTGAGGGTCCACGCGGACACTTCGGAAGTAAGCTCTTCAAAACAGTGATCCGTGTCTGCGCACCATCCCCTGACGGTGAGTTGACGGAGGTTGGGCATTGTGCTCGGGTCAATGGCGTCGTATGCGAGCGGCGGAGTCTCTGACAAGTAATTCCAACGCATGATGACACTCTGGTTGAAGAGTCGAAGTTCTTGCAGATACTTCAAGTCGGTCAACTTGTTGAGGTAGCCATACGTCCAGTCCTCATCCAGGCAAAACAGGACGGGATGGTACAACTTGAGAGCTTTGAGGCGAAGCGGAGCGTGACCGAGATCTCCATAGTGATTTCCCAAGTCCATGAGAAAGTCGTGTAGATTGGATCACGGTCGTCTAACGTATAAAACGTGTCTGCCGTCGCTCGAGAAAGGGAAAGGCTCAGATCAGTGAGTTTCGGGGAGGAACCCAGGATACGGGCTATCGTTTCTATCCACTTTGGGAGAGGCCCTTGGGGCCCAGTCAGGTGAAGTCCCGTCAGGCCGGAGAAGACGTTGAAGTCGGCAATACTGTACTTCAAGTCTTCAGGAATAGGCATCAAGGGCTCCGGGTCCCTCCAAGAGTCATCATCGCGACAGTATCTGTCGCAGTCGGGACGGTAGGGGTGAGATTCCAGATCGAAGGAGATGTCAACCAAGGTGGGGCAGCATTGCTTCAGAGTCTTTACTGTTTCGGATGAGAGGAAGAACTCTCTGTCTTCCATGCTGAAACGGCCATTAGCATGTAATCAGTTACGGCTGGGAGCAGTAGATAAGGTATGACGGACACAAATTTCTTCACATTTGGTGTGTTCGCCAACAGTCGTCTGAGTTGGGAGTTGCAATTCCGGGCATGATCATCAAACTCAACCTCACTTTGGTCCCATTCGAAGCCGTTGGGTCGGAAGTGGATGACTTGAATGTGGCGGGTTTCTGGGGATTCCTTGACAAGCCATTTGTGTGGAGGGTCCTCCTTCACGAAGTGTTTGTAGCCCAGGTAAACCTCGGCGTATAGGAACTCATTGAAAGCCTCTTTGAACGACTTGTTGACGCGACATAAAGCCCTCAATGTCTTTTTGTTGGTAATCTGTTGGTACCATAGGGTATTAGTGGTTGGGTCACATCCGAAAGAGCTTCCGCAGATTTTGTATCGAAAAATTGACTTGCAAGGTATTCTCCGATGATGCGCAGCAACTCTGGCGCGAGCAGCACTATACTGGCTGAGTCTACGTGTTGTAGAGGTCCGCTTTCGTAGATGGCAAGAGTTCCGACTGCTTCGCTAGGAAAGAATGGCTAATTGGTGCCACTGGCAGATGAAGTTGAGGGATTGAGACCGTCAGGATGATGTGCAACGTATCCAAACATGGGTTGACCACCTTACGTAAGGTCAGGTGTTTTGGGTTCGTGATGTCCAAGGTATATTATATTAACAGGCTGACAGCGGATGCCTTGGGGCCACTGTAATGGTCCTCGACAATCACTTCCAAAAAAGAGAATCCATCCGGACACAATTTCGCCCCTTTTCAATGCTTGCTGTTCAAGTAATGGTATCTTACTTGGTTCAAATTTGTATAGCCTCGTTGTTCTAATCCTCAATGTTTAAAGTACATGCATGACAAGGCACCTTCCATGGCTGGGTTGTTGAGTCCCATAGGGTAGGTGTAGGTACCTAAGCAGCATACCTTCCTTCAGGTACCTTAAGCTTAGAATGGCAGGAAGTGCCCCGGAAACACACTGAGGCAGGTGCACTTCCGGCCAGGGAAGGCACGTAGTAGAGGACAATTAGGGGACAACTTTCAAATCTTCGGCGAACCTTCAGCGAACCGTCAGCCAACCTGGAAGTTCCATTCACCACACAACTTTTGGTCAACATCAATTCAAAAGGTATCATTGCCAACGCATCTACAATGACATCCGCCTCGAAAGGGGAAGGTGTCTACATCGATCCTGTCGAGGGCCACGGCCACACCCACACCGTCATCATCCTCCACGGCAGAGGCAGCAACGGCGAAGAGTTCGCAGATGAGTTCCTTGAATGCGAAGTCTCCGAAGACCTGGCACGCATCTTGGCCATCTTGGCCCACCCAGACGATGGCCCTGAACAACCAAACAACCCCCTGGACGATACCCCAGCGCGACCACCACCCCCTCGAACCCTCCGAGCCCTGTTCCCAACTTTCAAATGGGTCTTCCCTACCGCACCATCTTCCCCAGCAGAGCGTTTCAAAGCAGACTTCAACCAATGGTTCGATATTTAGTCTACAGAGAACCCGAACGTGTATCCGGAATTGCAGGAACCAGGTCTGTGCAAGAGCATCGACTACATCAACGAATGTATCAACGAGGAAGCCGACTATGTTTCATTTGACAACATCTTCTTGGGCGGTATCAGCCAAGGATTCGCAGCAGTTGTCGCGACCCACCTGCACAGGTGTGGAAGCTTTGCCGGTCTCTTTGGCTACGCTAGCTGGGCGTACCCCGGGCTGGCACCTTTCGAAGTCCCAGCAGGTCTTAGTGGCGGCAATGGCAATTGGAAGATAAAGTGTCGTGATGCGGACTACCAGATGGCACACACGCCCATCTTCCTTGCTCACGCCCTCAACGACGAAGTGGTTCCGGTGAAGAACGGAAGGGCCCTCTATAGGGCCTTGCGCAATATAGGCATGACGGAAGTCGAGTGGCACGAGTATCAATATGGCGGCAACTGGTTCACCGAGCCCGAAGGCATAGATCATCTCGTTTCCTTCCTCATGCGCAATATGGGCTCCGAGGAAGATGACTATGAGGAAGATGACTCTACGGAAGATGACTCTACGGAAGTTGAAGAGGAGTCTGGTAAGGGAAATGGTGCTGTATAAGGACGAGAGCAGAAAGGTCTTGATTGGAAACCAGCGAACAGCGATATGCTCCAGGCCTTTTCAAAGCGGAATCAGTATACGGTCGGGAGCAGAAAGTAGTGCATGAAAGATTATATTATGGATGATTCGTAATCGGTAATCGAGAACTACGAGTAAAAAAGCAGAGCATTCTACAAAATAAGGGTATTGAAAATAGATGTCTATGTGAGGCCAAGCAGAAACGTGGTGAAAAGCAAAGCAACAACCTGATTACGATCAGTAGGTGACGGTAGCAACTTTGGCGACATATCTGTCGTCTCCGCCCTTTTGCAAGATGTTCTCAAACATCCACTTGCCAACATCTTCACGGGCGATGCTGTACCCAATAGCCAGCTCCTCAACACCCTTGACGGGATCCTCGATACCAACCCGGACCGTACCTGCGGGCTGCTCCTTTCCGTTGGTCAAGAAGCTGGCGCGCACCACGGTCCAGGCTTCACCGCTCGTAAAGAGGAGTTCCTCCATGGCTTTCTTGTCCATGTGCGGGGTGTGCAAGAGGCCCTTGTAAAGAGGCTGAATAAGGAGAGGCGTGTCCCTCCCAAACTTGGAGATACCAGTGCTGCTGAGCCCAATGACACGCGGCCGTCCAGCAACACCCTTCTCAGTGCGCAGCTTCTTGATGGCGTCGAGCAAGACGGTCATTCCCTTTTCGCAGACGTTGACGTCCTCGAGGTTCATCTTGCGCAGCTCGAACCAGGCGCCGATGGAGGAGACGACGGTGTCGACGAAGCGGGTTGCGTCAAAGGGCGAGACGACGCATCGGGCAATCACGTCGGCGTCGTGGGCGTTGCCTTGTTCGATGCGGAGGTTGGGGTACTTTTCGGACGGGAGGATGGAGGTCAGCTTGGACGGGGTGCGGCACAGGGCGATGCACGTGAAGCCGGCGTCGAGGGAGCGGCGGAGAGCTGAGAGGCCGCAGCCGCCAGTGGCTCCGAGGAAAAGAATAGTCTTTGCGGACATGGTCGGTGTGTGGTCCTTGGTGTACCGTGTAAGAAGGTAATGGGGCGAGTCTCGGGACGGGACCGAGTACGGATGCGAGAGGTGAGACCGAGTGCGGGATGGCGAGTCGGGGCCGGTGGATTGTTGGTAGATCGTACCCACTGCAGTGTTTGGGATCGACAAGAGATGACAAGAAGATGTTCTTTTGATCTAGAAGGTGAGACTGATCTGGTGAGAGTTGAGAGTAGTGGTTTAGAATGATGAACAAGCCTCCATGTTCCACTTGGGAAGCGAGGACTACATGACCTTTTATCCTACCAGAAGACTGCTTGAAACCCGCTTGGAAAGATGGAAGGACACGATCGCGATACAAAGTCCGCAAGCCACACGGAGTTGTGAAAGTGAATAGTCAGGCCGAATCACCGTGTATGCGTGTGCATGGCTTACATGTTGGTGAGCGGCAAAGCTCAAGGGATTCGAGCCCGGCCGCCACGATGCTTGTTTTTGGATGGGAAAGAACCACCAAAGGGCCTCTAGAGGCAGCAATTTCCCATCCGTGGGCACCCGGGCACAGGGCTGGAATACGGTTGGAATGTTCCTCCGCCCAGTCTGGTGGCGTCCAGTCGGAATGATCTGATAGTGGTAGTGGGTCAAGCCACGTTCGCTCTTATCGGAGTCTGTGTGGGTCATAGCACGGGTGTCAACTTGGTGGCTTGACGCTAGTCTCATAACGGGTTAGAGGCGGAATGGCATGGCCGTCTGGTTGGGAAGGCAGCGGGTCGACTCACATTCCAAATCCGGCTGGAGAGAGAACTAACTCCCTGAACAATTGGACTCGGATCCCATCGTCAACCTTGGACATCGCCCTCTCAGTTTCTTCGACTCCATCATCGAAACCCTGCGCCTGCGCCTCCCAAGATGAAGCTCGTTAAGTTTGCTATGTTCGATACACTTCTCAAAGCGTGGTCATAGTTCACCAACACGGACCGTCGTATTCGAACCTACGTCTATTCACATCTCGGTCTTCCTGACTGACTGACCTCACTTGACCAACTCTGACTTCCACTGCCAGAGTGTATTCTCGAATCCGTGCACCTTTGATGGGACATGAACTTCTTCTCGTCTTCACTATAAAACACCTATGCGACTCGAGATGGCACATGTCGACCCGACTTGCCGCGTCCGTCCTCTGTCCCCGGCTCACACTCGACGAGCAAACCCTCGTCACATCCCTCACGCGAATGCATCGTACCCAACTGGATCCGGCAATTGGCTTTGAGCCCACCGATCACTCCCTGATCCCCAATGACCACGCTACCCATCATCGAGACAAGCAGGTCCCTGCAGCATCTCGCAGCCCACTTCCCCAACCCAATTTAACAGCACAGACTGTGACGTTTCGGCATGGCATTGGTGGGAGCGTTGAACACTTGATTACAACCCAAGAGAGGGGACTCAGCCCGCAGAGATGTCCCAGAGAGTCCGTACGACTAGGTAATCCGCCAGCTGGGAGATGGCACCATGTCGCTTCGGTTTGAGTTTCGTCCGATTCCATCACCCAACTTTCATTCGCATTCTACCTTTCCACAGTCCAAGGCTCCAAGGCTGTGCCCGGACAACAAGGAACGCACCTGGAAAGTTCTGTTCGATTGAGCATGTTTGTGGCCCTTACCAGTGGCCATTCAAATCGCAAGCGTAGACAAAGCCAAAGGAACCACCCTCGGCCAGGTCAATGTTACAGGCCCGTCCCATGCCGTTTCGTAGATCTCTGACGCGGGTCCCAAAGTTATCGGTTCAAACTGTCCGTAATATTAAGATCGCAGCATGCCGCTGCACGATCATCTTGTCTTAGCCTTGAAAGACGTCGTCAACGCCAAGGGACTCTGACAGATCGAAGAGAGCTCTCTCCTTTCCGCAACTAGACACTAGCGCCGTCCAACGTCCCTTTATCCAACAATGCTCGTGGGAAAGTCGGTTCCGGAACTCATCCTCGTGAGGTCCATGGTAATATACTTCCAGTACCTCGGATTCCTCTGCTTCCTCTACTTTTGGTTCATATTCGCCCTCGCTGGTGTACCCGGTATTGCTCACCCCGTATCCATCCTAATCGAAGTCGTTGGCGCCATCGAAATCATCTTCTATTTTGCCTGGTTCGTGCCATATCGCCGCCGTCTACAGAAACCCGGCCTTCAACCGGGGCCTCTAAATCAGGAAGAACGCCGGTGGTTCTTTTACCAGGGACTGGATCACGCGCCAGATGTCGAGCAGTATATCCGGAAATGGCACTGCAACGCCCAGGTCGGCGATATTCGCAGGGAGAATGTCAAGGACTGGTTGATGTGGGCATTGTTCGACAAGCAGGGCAACCCGCAGGAACACGACGATGAACTCGAGGAGTACATTGAGGAAACTGAAGAGCGGGCCGGAATCAACATCAAGAAAGGCTTCGGAGACGCGACCCCGATGCGCCTGAGTTTTGATTCCATCACAATCACCCACCGGAGCCTAATGTATTACATTGTAAGTGATGTGCAGCTGACAACGTTCCCCCACTATCCTGGGTAAAAGACTAACACGTCAAAAGACCACTGGCACCCTCGACTTCTTTGCAACCCTCGTCCTCTTCATCAGAGGCTTCAAGTTTTACCGTCAACCCCGCAACACCTTCTTCTCCGTCTTCCCCTGGCGGCCCATGACACTCTTCTCGCCCAACGAGTCCGCCGACCCGAAGCTGAGCTACTTTTGCCGCCCGCACACGTCAGAGGCCCAGCGCCCGATCCTCTTCATGCACGGCGTGGGTGTCGGCATGCTCCCGTACCTACTATGGCTTTGGAGCATCCCCAAGGACGTCGGTGTGCTGTGTATCGAGATTCTCCCCGTCTCCTCGCGTATCTGCCCCCCTCTACAGACAACCAAAGAGCTCGTCGATGGCATAGACGCCATCATCAAGCAGCAAAACTACAATGACTTTGTCTTTGTTGGAAACTCTTTCGGCACGCTCTTCGTATCCCCGCTGCTACAAAGACCCGACATCGCGGCAAAGATCAACTCCATCGTGCTCATCGACCCCGTATCACTTCTCCTCCACCTTCCCGCCGTAGCCTACAACTTCACGCGGCGCACACCGAAATGGGGTAACGAATGGGAAATTTGGTTCGTCGCCACAGATCCCATGGTCGCGCACACCCTCGCCCGCCGCTTCCGCTGGCAGGACTTCATCCTCTGGACGCCACAGTTACAAGGGAAGCGTACGACCGTAGTCCTCGGCGGCGAAGACTGCGTCACCGATCCGGACGCCGTAGCGAGCTACGTCTACTTTGGCGATCTCAACTACACGCGGCACGACAAGCCCGAGTGGGCGACGACGCCCGAGAGGTGGAGTGGGAAGGGGGAGCTCGAACTCATGTACCTGGCGGGCATGGATCACGGCCAGGCCTTTTTGAGTATCAAGCACATGCCGCAGATTGGCAACGTCGTCTTGGCATACACGTTCCTCAGCGGGGTGATGGACTCGAGGCAGGCGGATGCGGCAAAGGAGGAAGAACAGAACCAGATTTGAGATAATGTTTCGATTTATGAAGGCGTTTTGTTGGCTGGTACTGGATGGGTAGGCTGCGTGCGTCCTTTTCGCGACGTGGTTGAGGAGTGGATGGTCTGGGAACCTGCCCTCGTGTTTTGTCACTTTATAACATTTATATCCAGATTTTCTTCCTCTTCTCTTACCTATTCTGTCTCTGATACTCCTGTGACTTCTGGCATGTCGGTATGATGCCGGTCTCGTAGTAACAGACGCCACGATATCTGACCCAAGTCTAAAATGATATTACCGGTCCGCAAACTATTACCATGCTTGAACCTCGACATCTCATTACAGTATCACGATCACGCATACAGAGTCCATCATCAGTCAATCATATTCATCCCACGGCAAGAGTCCCGGCTTCTGATACCCAGGAACATGCGGCTGCAACGCCGCACAACACTCAATCCTCACCCCCTTCCTCCCAAGCCTATCAACCTCGATCAACCTCACACGCACAGGAACCTCATGCCTCTTTACCTGAGGAACCCCCCGACTCCTCCAACTCTGTTTAACATTTTCCCCAACCTTGACCCTCACCTCCATATCCGTTTCTACGAATTGATCCAACCCACCAGAGACAACAAACTGGGTATCCCTCCACAGCACATCAACCCCCAAATCAACCTGCGTCTCACAAGCATGACACCATAACCTCCACTCCCCATCAACCCTCCTCCATCCAACCGCAACATCAACCTGTATTCGCGCGTTCGTCGGCGACTCAAACCGCAACCCAGCAAGCACCGGCTCGAAATAGGGATTCCCCGTCCTTATAATCCCCAGGCTCGACACCCACGGTCCCGTAGGATACGAATCGACAACCTGATACGCCTCCCGAACCCCACCCACCTTCCAACCCGCCTTGAGGACCGAAATATCGGGGAGAACATACACCGGGTTCCGCTTCACGAAAACAGTCTTGTAGCTTCCCCGCCCTGGCCTCGTCGAATCCGGCGCCGGGATGACCGTGCACACACTCCCCGTCCGGACCCGGGCGTATTGGTTCCCCGATAACTTCCTCAGCATAATCCGCGGGCACTGATCTCCGTTCTCGCCCTGAATAGCACAGTCCAGCACAGCATAAAAGTCATCCGCCGCGCTACCATCACCACCTTGGGTATCGTCCACAGGCTCAAGGTACATGGATATCCTAACCCCCTGATTCGTAAGCTGAATCGGCTGCTGCCCCGTCGTCCCAAACGCCGGCAACGGGCGAAGGTACTGAAACTGCGAAAACTCAACCGGCGACGGAGCAAGCAGGCCGCTGAGAATATGCTGGTCAAACGCGGCCTCCTGCGTAGACGTCTCGTAGTTGCTGTGCCACGCAAAAATGGAATGATCCCCTGTGTCCTGCAAGATAGCCTCCTGCAGCCGCGCAAAGGCCTTCATCCCCTCGCCGTATAGCAGCGGCATGTTGACGCCAAAGATGCCCATCAGGCTGTAGGCCAGGTCCTCCTTCCGGGTCGTGACTCTCGACGAGGCCCAGTGCATGCGCTCGGCGACGCTTGACGATTCTAGGGGGATGGTCTTGTTTAGGATGTCGAGGCTGATTCCCGTGACGGTTGCCAGCGCGGGACCGAGTGACTCGTCCAGTTTGGAGCCGATGAGGTGCCAGCTCTTGTCGTAAAAGTCGATGTTGTCGGGGGCGATGAGCTCTTGGAGTGTCCAGCCGCGGGTAAACCATCTGCACTCGCGAAGAGCCAGTTCCAACGGAACAACCATCCCGGGCTGCTGGTATATCGAGTAGTTCAAGTCGGAGAGGTAGACGTAGCAAACACTGGCCTGCTCGTACCAGTTGAACATGGAGTTGATTGCCTCGGACAGTTCCGCACTGCTCGTCTTATCGATGCAGCACGTATCGATCCAGATATAGCCGTACCCCTGACTCTGAGCAAGTCGGCAGGCTCCCGTGATCTTGGGGTATCCGGCCATGAATCCGATGTCCTTTTGGGCATCGTGCACATCTTGCAGCGTGACCTCCTCTGTGCCCCACGTGTGGGAGAGAATGGCAAATTCCGGCGCATTGTCCCCTTCGAATATCACAAAATCTCCGAGTGGTTGTGACCCTTGGGCTGTTTCCAAGAGCCTCATTGTCTCTCCGTGTCTGTGTTACACAAGATATGGCTTGGCCGTTGAGGAGGTGAAGGCATGTTGCTGGAGGTTCCTGGTGGTGTTTCTCGCAGCCGCTAATGCAGCTCGGGTCCCCGCAGGCCTTGGACAGATCAACTCTCTCTTGGATCCATTAGAATGACCCTGGCACCTTTCGATACTATCTACCAGGGTCAACAACGCCCGCCAAAGCACCTAACCTGCTCTGTAAGCCGAATGAGTCGTGCGTCGGTCAATGTGTGATGGGCGCAGTGTAAGTCTACATCTTGGTTGAGAACCCAGTGTTCCTGGCACGCGAGATGAAAAAATGTCCAGTATTATTGTTCATGTTGTATATCGCATATAAACGGTGTATATTAGCCTGTTATCGTCAAGTCACGCCTTGGGAGCGTCGGTCAGTGGCACATATCGAACCCCAAACAGCTTTTCCTTCACAACAGACCCATCTTCCTTCTTGTCAATGGCCCAAACGTACTGATCGTAGCCATTATCGTCCTCGACGGGGATAAACATCCTGTCTACAGTTAGTACATTCAAAAATTTGACGGCGCCGGTGCAGCTCACCTCCCAGGCGTCCGTAGCTGATCCACCAACTCCTGGTGAAGCTCCACCGCAGCAGCACCAACGTGTATCGCATCCCACCCCGTAGCCTCGGCCGTCTCTCCGTCCCGCGGAGCCTCCACCCAGCCTTTCCGTCCGTCACCAACCCGGAACTTGACCTTGCCGCTGTCTAGCAGTGCCCTCCCCTCGGCACTCACAGCCATGTTGGTCTCACCCATATCTTTGAGTGCCTGAATATGCTCCAGCCCGACAACGAGGCCTTTATCCCCTACGAGCTCGGCAAGGAGATGCGTCAAGTACCCCGATCCGGAGCCAACATCCAGCACCCGTGGTGCGGGCCTTCTTTCGGAGGGCAAAATATGCGGGAGGAGAGACTCGGTCGCACTGGCGTGCATGTGAGGTGCCGAGATGGTGGCCTTGTGGCCTATGGACTGGGGTGAGTCTTCGTACGGCGCAACGGGGGCGTAGTGTGCTCGGTCAACCTAGCAGGTCAGATATGTTGCTCCTGGCGTTGTGGTGATGACTGTAGAAGAGGAGCAGGTACCTTGAGAAAGGCGTCCTTGACTCGTTGGTCTTTGATGAGGCCATGCCGCCACATGTTTTCGACCAGATCCTTGTTTGTGGCGCCGGAGCTTCGCCAGGCCATCTTGAAGTTGAGGGCGGGGTTCGGGTGTAGAAAGCGAGAGGTCTGTCGTCGTGTTGAGCTTGGGAGGAGCTTGAGAGCTCTCCGGACCGGATGGTGTCTGGTATTCGTTTTGGCGGACGCTCTGCTAGGACTAAGTGGCGGGGTGTTGATTTTCTATGTCTGGTAATAGAAGCGAAGAGTTCTCTATGTAGAGGATATGCGAAAAGATGTTGTAGAAGAGACAGAGATGACGGGACTGCGTTGTAAACGGAAGGTCAAATATGACTATTCCAGCCCAACGGTCCAGTGATTCGGTTCCATTCCATAGCAGCATGATGCACCGCTACAGCTAAAGCTACAGCGCCTTTCTCGGCACAAGTGTGGTGGTGGTGGGTTGATCCCCCGCGCTCTCGAACCTTGTCGATAAGCGATCCAGGGAGTTCAGGCTGCCCGGGCAAGTGGGAGCTCTCAAACTCTCGACCCCGCCAGGCGGATCATCCCGCTGCAAGCACTAAAAGATGCCTCTTCCGATCTGTGGAATCTGAGGAGCATCACTCCGCTCTAGTCTGGACGGGTGGCATTCCATTGTCATAGTGTGCACTAGAGCGTGAACGGCAAGACCTCAGTGCATATAATGTACCCAAGAAAACCTCAGTGTTGATGCCGAGAATGAAAGCTGCTGTTGTGCTTCCTATGTAGATTACCCTGCTCCCATTCCCGATTCCCTACAACACCCATAACCCACTTGACGACGCAAAGAAACGGCGCGAGATGCCAAATGTCGTAGACTCGTGGCCCAGACCAATAACCACGTTTAAAAAAGAAAGAAGCCAACTGCGCTTCGTCACGCTGTGACACACGATAACGCCAATGCTATACCACTCTCTCGGACGACTCGCCATCGGCAATGATGGGCACAGGCAGTCCACGGTCGGGGCTCTGCAAAACGAGCTGCTCGTGGCGCCGTGCCTTGATGTAGTCGCTAACAGACCTAATGAGAACGAACCATCCGACAATCATCAAAATGTACGCAATCCACTCTTGTCCGGTAATGTCCGACACACCGCCGCCGCCCTCTCCCGTTACCGCGTTGGGGTCGAAGTTGTGCGAGTTCGGGTCCGGTGGTGCCGCATATCCGTCTTGGCCGTTCATCTTGGGCGGGTGGTCGCCTTCCGTCGTGCCCTTCATGTAGAAACCGTATTGGATTAACGTAATGCCCAGGCCGGCGCGGGAGCCGTTCTTGGCCGCGTGAGTCGAGTGGAGGAGGTATGTGAGGATGAAGCCGACAACCTGGAAGGACATCGAAATCATGCCGTTCCAGACAAAACTGAACAGAGATCCGACGGGCATTCCGTCAATGTAAACTTCGTCGGGTCCGCCGAGGCCTGGGGCCAAAATAGTCGTCTCCCAGTAGGGGGGTGCGGCATCGGCAGCGGCTTGCTCGTATGTCTAGAAACTGGTCAGTACAGCATATTCTCGGGCAAGTTGTGCCGTCCGCCACTGTGCAAAGTGTGGAAGAGGTGGATTGAACGTACTGGAGGTTGCTCCTCCTTCGTCTCGCCTCCCCGCTCGGGCTTCGCCGTTAGGTTGGAAAAGACACCCTCATTCTGGATACCGCTGCCGTAGATGCGGAACGGCGTCGTAGGTCCGCCAGCCGCGGATGCAGTGGTGGGAGGAAGCTGGGTGACCTGCCTATCGGGCTGGGGTCTTGACTCGGAGGAAGCGGTGCGTGACGGGTCGCGGGATGTCAGAGTGGAGTCGGCGCGGACTAATCTTTGCCTGTCGTCGGCGTCGTCATCGCTTTCGTCGCCATCGGTATCGAATGCGTCGGCGAGCGTGGAGTCGACCCCGTGGGCGGCACGGTCGCGCGACGATGCTCTCGAGTGGAAGGACGGTGGCGGAGAGTTTGGCACTCTTTGCGCGTGACTTGGCGGTGCGGAGTTGGGGCTGTTGAAATCGTCCTCGTCTTGAACGTTTACCTGCAAGGAGTACACTGTTAGCGGACGAATGCAAAAATGGTGTAGGAGATGCGGCAGCTTTGGAACACAACATACCCGCTCATATCGTCCAGCCATCTTGACGAATGTTGTGTAATGTTTTTGTTTTCTCTCTCTTTTTTCGTTGTCTTGAAACCGTAGGACTCGGAGCGCCCCCTTTCGCCACTGGGGAAGAAGACGGCTAACGCTGTGTTTTAATTGGGGGAGAAGTCGTTGGGGGGTAGGGGAAATCGGGAATACGGAGGCGGTTATTCGAAAGGGACAAGGCGAGAAACCAAAGGAAAAAAGGCGAGAAATGGTTTCGCGAGGATCGTAGGAAGAATCGGAGGGGTAAGGCGACAAAAAAGGAACGACGATGGTGTTGTTGTGCTGAAGAAAAAAGGGTGTTGGTTCAGAGGAAAAAGGACTACGCCATCAACGTTGGCTCGGATCGTCTACGGCTGGCGGTGATGAACGTCGGAGAGTCAGTCCAGGCTTGTTGTAGCGGTACGGATACAGGAGGATAAGGAGGATAAGGTCCTGAAGCCTGGAGGTCAGGTCAGGAGTGTCGGGACTGTCGCACGACCCGGGCGCTGTCGCTGGTTCGCTTCGCTTCGCCTCGCCTCGTCTCGCTGCGGTGAAGTGGATTACCTAAGATACGGCTCTAACGCTAAAGAGCCCCTGTGGCAGTGGAGGTGGAGACAGTTCTCAGTGTCACTGTTAGGGGGGGGTTACGTATACGTACTCGTACCTGTCCGCGGGAATGTGCTGGAACAAAATGAGACTGAGGTGGGCAAGGGGGGTCAATCTTGTGTTGCTCCGAGGCCGCCCTCTACCTTAATTCCATTGGATGGTGCATTGGTGACGGGACTGCTAACGGCTGCCTCCAGGTCGTTGCTGGGCTGACAAAGACAAGAGACAGAATGAACCACGTCAGATGCCTCAGGCAAGAGTCATGCGCATAAGCCAACTTCCCCCCCTGGCCGCCTGAATGATTAGGTAAGACATATGTGGGTTGGTGGGTAGAGTCAAATGGCCCCCCTCTCTTCGGCCCATCGGACCCCCCCCGATCGTCCAAGATCTCTTTCTCCAATCAAAAACGTCTGAGTAATCCACCCAATGTCATTCATTTCTTTTGCGATCCTGTCTCCACTCTTCCCACTTTGGTAAGCACCGATGCAGCGTATTCTCTTAGCTCCGACGAATTAATTCTTCGACTGCGGACTGCCATTTGTTGCGAAATCCTTGACGTCGTCGATGGGAATCTGAAGCTACCGCGACTTCGCCCTCCGCTGCCCCATCCACCCCCTCTATCCACTGCCTCTTTGCCCCGCGGTGAGACCATGATAAGGTAGTCGGCATTCGGTAGACTCAACTCCATTCTCTATTCTTTCCAATATCGCCGCCATGTCGCGCACAACGAGTGTATGTCTCTCCTCTCTGCCTCCCTTCCCGCCCTTCCGATATGTCGCGTCACCGTCACTAACACCATCTTCCTACAGCAAGCGTACCGGCACATGAGGTCTGCCCTGGCCCTGTGGCCCAAGGACAACCTCCGCCCCGAGACCCAGTTTACCGAGATCATCCAAAGAGGCATCGAGAGGAGGTACACCAAGCCCAATGTCGTCGACGAGGCCAAGGAGCTGAAGCAGGCGAATGCCCTCTACGCCCTCGCCGACGACCGCTTCAAGAAGAGGGTAAGCTGGAGCATCCCGAATCCTCGCGCATCGCAAACTCTGACAACCCGTAGTTCCCCTTGAACGGCGAACTCTTGAAGCCCGAAAGCCAGCCGACATACTTCCAAGACCTGTTGAGAGAGCTCGAGGAGGCCCCGACACGAGGTTGGCTGCAAAACATGTCCAAGAAGCTCTCCGGCATGTTCAGACTTCAATGATGACCAAACAAGGAACAACACAAACAAATACCACATACACACGAAACACCACCAAGAATGGCATTCATCAGCGAAAGGGAAGCCATCTAAATAGCATGGGCATGCGTAATTGTCTAGGCCTTATGTACGATATCTTGTACAAAACCTGTACCCTGTATAGTTTATCTATACCAGAAAGAAAAAAAACTAGAACCTCAACGCCATTGTATTTTGTAGCATATCCTCCTTAGATGTATCTTCCCTCAGGGTCCACCTTCTGCATGAGATCCATGCTCTTCTCGTACATGGTGAAGACGAGACCGCCGCTCACCACGAGACGCGCCAACCGCGGCAACGCACCGCTCCACAATGTCAAGACACCCTCCTGCTTCAGAATCATGGCCGCGCAGCGGAAAGAGTTGCCATACTGCTGTCGTGCCGTAATACTCTGCATGCGCGTCTTGATCGTGTCGAGGGGCTGAGTGACGTAGACTGTAATCAATCCGGCGATACCGCCCATGGCAAACGTGCCCACGGCGCCCAGCTTCTCTCCCGGTGCTGTGTAGGACTCGGCCATCTGCTTGAGGGCGTTGTACGCGCTGAAGCGCACCGCACTGTTGGCCGCCTGGCGGGCCGTCGTCGGCACGAAGCCCTGGAAGAATCCGCGGAGGCCGCGCTCGCGGGCAATGATGGGGACGGCGCTGAGGAAACCCTTCATTCGGGGCTTGCCGGACTTCTTGTCGTCGATACTACGGCAGCGGTGTCAGCAATGACGAGGTATGATTGATGCAGTAGAGTGACTCACAGCGTAGTCTTGATGCTCTCGAAGGGAGTCACAGCAAGGGCCGACTCCGTGACACCGGCGCCGAAGCCGGCGATGACCGTCTTCGGGCCAGAGATGTTGCCATCAGCGTCGGAAAGCAGCGTCTTGTACTGGTCAAAGGCAACGAATCCTATCAATCAGGCGTCAGCAAGCACGAGACGATAGCCTTGGAACAGCTGCTTCACGTACGGATTCCCGCCTTGAGCGAGTTGCCAATGATCAACGTGGTGCATCCCGCGTACCATTGCGCTCCGAACGGCGGCCACGGCAGCTTCTGTCCAGCACCCAGGTTTCGGTTCAATTGCGACCGGGTCTTGGCAACTGTCGGGGAAGGGTCAGAGAGTCAATCGCATCGGGGGATCGGTCGTGGTCGTCTTACATTCGGCAGGGTACGTGATGGCTGTGTCGAGAGAGTTAGCTTCCTGTATTCGTTGTCTACGGATACTGGTGCGTCATCGGGGCAGAGAGGGACTCACCAATCTCGACAGCGCCGGCCGTAGATCCAGCCAGAATGGATCGCAGGACCGTCGGTCCGCCCTTCTTGACGGGCTGCGACTCATCCTTGGTCGCCGCGGTGGCACTTGTCGCGGTCGACATTTTGGAGGAGGATCTGCGGAGCGTGCTGGAGTTTGTCTGTTAGACGGGCACTTTTTTTTTTTTGGAGGAAGCTTGACGTGCAGGTGCAGTGCTGCTGCGTCCGAGATCGCGGGGTGTGGAGACTGAGGAAAGCCGAGAAGGTACGTACCGGCTAGTGGTCTGACGACATCCCGGCTGCTGACCGCGCAGATCACACACCGACACACCTCCAGGCTCACCGAGATACCGAGACACCAAGATACCTCAATACCTCCTCAACTTACATTAATGGCAATCTTTCTCGTAGCATTTATATATCAAATTACGAAGTCCTCCTCGAATAAGTATTTTTAATTGAACATTTTTAGTCACTACCGTAGTCAGATACTTCACTTTCCATCTAGTCATCTGTCTATCCGACTCTAATCCAGAAATGGCAGCAGATACTTGCACATTGGCTTTCTCTCTTGACCACCTAATCAACCTTACAAATATGACTATCATCATACTAATTCCCCAGTTCCTATCAGTCTAATGTATCTTATGGCGTAAACAATGTCTCGTTGGCATATGAATGATAGAAAACCTTCATCATTATCGTGGCCAACCAAAATGCCTAGGGCACATTGTTTGCTTTAGCTTCCAAACAGCCTTCCTCTTTACCAAATATGAAAGTAAATAATCTTGTTAGAGGTTCTAAACGAATAAACGTCATGTTCGCCTATAATTCAAGTCGAAAGCTTGATGTAGGGAAGTTGGCAGATTTGACTTCTGCTTTTTTTCTTGTTTTTATTAAAGGTAGCTTTCCGAATGTTGAGAGAAGAGTCGAAAACTGTTTACAAATGCTTAAAAAACAACACGTCATCAACATGCTAGATCGCTTTGAAACTTTGTAGCAAGATCATCTCAATCCGCTTGATCCAATGGACCAAAAACGTTATTGACCTCACTGGCAGCAACATCACTGCATAACTCGACCCTGCAGCTTTTCTTCGCAACACGCCACTCGCTTACATCCTCATCACGATAGCTGCTATTTTCTGGAAGCGTAAACATGTAGAGACGATTTGAATTTGAGTGATGGGCAATGAGTCTTCCTATCTTTCACCGCCATCCTGAATCAACATGGCCTGCTTTCTACCTTCTCATTTATGACATGATGATTGTCTCGGAAGGCTGCCCCTGAATCTGACTTGCTGTCAACCATTTAGACGATCCAAGTCAAATTTCATAAGCGGTATGTTTGAACAGTATCATCAGCACGGATATCTTAACAGAACCTTAATTTGAGTTTAGCACAGCTGGGGGTAAACAACCGTAACCTTATTTCAGACATCCTTCATGCGAATCAAACTGCAGTCTGCTCAATAGACTAGGTTTCGATGTTTGTTGGTTGCCGTCCAAAGTCACAGAAATCATTGAGAGAGATATTTGATGGCAAGACGTTGAATTATGGAACCTGGAAGCAGCCATGGGCACGTCTCCCTAGTCTGTCAAAGACTATGTAGTATGTACAGTGAAACCAATCCTTCTTTGTAGCCGCAGGCTTAAGTTGCTAACGCATTTACTGCATCTTGGGGACCTTGATGGTAGCAATCTTCCAGACGGTGTTGCCGTTGCTGGCAGCGAGTCCGGTGTAAGTGGCACCCTGGCTGACACCAATGGTCTTGCCAAAGTTGGCGTCGGCGCTGGAGGGGGTGATGGTGGTGTCGGAGTAGATCTGCTCAGCAATGGTGCCGGTGCAGCCGTCGTTGCACTCGGTGCCGGTTCCGTATCCTCTCATGAAGGGGCCGTCCTTGTGGTCGAGTGTGCTGATGACCTTGTTGGTGGCAGTGTCGGTGACGGTCTGGCGCCAGGTGTCGTTGTCGTCGAGGAGGTCGTACTCGATCTTGATCTTCTGGGTTCCCTTGACGGGGGAGGAGGTCTCGCTGTCGATCTGGCCGAAGGAGCCAAAGACGGAGGCGCGGACGCACCACTCGCCGCTGACGGCACCGCACCAGCTGTTGTCGGGCCACGACTCGAGGGTGGTCTGGACGAGGTTGCCGGTGCCGTTGGACATACCGGGCCAGAGGAAGAGGACACCAGCCTGGGTGGGGGGAGCGGCACCGGGGGTCAGGTAGGTGACGGCGTTGATGATGGTGGAGGCGGTGGGGCCGAGGGAGACGGCGCCGCCCCAAGAGTCGCGCTTGGTGACGTTAGAGGGCTCCTCGCGGCGGAAGAGGCCGGGGAAGGTAGCGAACTGCATGGTTGCGGTAGTGGGTTTTGTGAAGCGAAGGACTGGATTGGAGAACGAATGTAAAGGGTTTTGTTTGGTAAAAGGGCTGAAGAAGTGAACGTATGTGCTGGACAAGTGAGAACGAAGATCAGAGAGGCTGATGATCGAGGAAAGGCATCTTTACACAGAACTCCCAGAGTCTTGGCCTTTCAGTCCCCAGATTTCCTAGCGTGGGAGCCGCTTGACGAGATGAGAGGAGTTTGATGCAACGCAGTCGATTCCCAAAAGGAGAGGGAGTGTTCTGGCCCGCCTACTTTGGCTGGCATGGACGGGGAGGTTCTCCATTCGGATTACTGTTGGGTAAGGTAGCACACGGAGCTGCCCATCGCGTGTTTGTCGTCCAAGACTAGGGTCACGGCAGAGGATGCTACGTTGAGGGGCCCGGAGGAGAGTGGTGGATCGGTTCGGACGACAAGAACATGGGGTGTAAAATTCCCGGAGGAACATCGTTGGATTCGATGGAAGAATCTTTCCTGTTGGTCCATCGTCGTGAAAGAGGGGTCAAAATGGCGTTGTAGTTGTTTGTTGGAAACACTAGACGAGTCGAGCCCTGCCATGCTCGGCCGAGTCTGGAATAAGGTGGCCCATTATTTGAGATCATTATAGTCTCCAACGGCCCAACATCTCGGGCCAGTGGCGGCAAACTGAGTACGATAGGCGGGAAATTAACGCCCTTTCAAAAAGTCTCAACGTAGGGTTTATGGCGGGTACTAGACTCTTACTTAGAGACTAAATACTCGAGAACCAATGTATATAATGGATCTCGCGCTTCGCAGGCGAATGGCCTCTCTCCGGATTGCCGTTTAGCCATATTGAGGAAAGCGAATCCGACGAGAGCTCATGACTTTAGCTTCATGCTGGGGAAACTTAAGGAGAGATTCTTCTCCTTTGGGATCCTCCACAAGCCAAGTCGGCAGTTGGCCCGAACCACGATGTCACGAAGCCAATCTACTTTTGGAGCCGTACATTCTCCCACCAGTGGTAGCGCGGCTCTTGGGTCAGCAGGGACCAAGGATATCGGGATAGTATCCGATCAAATTTCAGTAACGGATTGGGCATGTTACATTCTGATCTGAAGGTTTCTGCCTCGGCCTTTTGTTTTGATGTTCAATAATCATGGATGAAGTTGATAGTCTTTTGAGTTTGCGTTCAAGGTGAAATGTGGTGGCAGCGATTCCCACGTCTGGCTTGATAAGCACAGAAACACGAATAAAAAAGTCATGAATCGCAGTGAGCACTGGTTAGATAGAGCCCCTGACTCTTTGAAGTGAAAAGTCGAACGAGAAACGACGGACTATCCGTAATCCATTCTTGTAAGTGGGCATCTGCCGGATAACCGCCATGTGA